AATTTTGGAACTAAACTTTTTATTTGTACAATTAGGTCAGATTACAAGTTATACATCTGCAAAGTGGCCAGGATCAACAAAAATGTGGTTAAATTGAGGTTGGTTGGAGTGCCTCACAAGCACCACATAAGACAATAAGTAAGTAAAATTTATTATTATTGGGATTTGAATAGTTGAAAAAAATGAGGTGTACTTGTTGCATGAAGTCTACTCATTTCTACTCCTAATTTCTGTAGTATGGTATAAAAAAAAAACAGCAAGTCCTCACTTAATATCACCAATAGGTTCTTGGAAATTGCAACATTAAGCAAAATGGCATATAATGAACTATATCCCATTTGTATGAGTTGTTTATTTGTATACATAAATCAGATTTTAATAAAAGAACTCAGTTAATATTATTCTTATTGATCATGTTTGCAATCTTCAGCATTTATTTCTTACCTTGTAGAATCTGTTTTACTGTTTATAAAGAAAATTCAACTACAATAATTGTAAATAACTACAAACGCATTTGTATCTTTCTTCACAATTATAACAAAGTGATGTTCGTTGAGGACTTACTTGTACATATATATTTTGGGAGGGAAGACAATTTTCCAGTACAAAGACATTGTTGGATATGTCTCTCCTGTTCCTTCGAGGTCAACCATTAATTACATGTTTAATTTAAGGATGAAAAGGAGATTGCAAAAATATATACAGTAAAACTTCAGTAAGTCAAAATATCTGTAACTCAAAGAAAACAAAGCATTGATAAGTCTTCAGTGGAACAGCATAGTGATTTAACAGCTTCAACTTGAATTTCCTTAACTCAGATTTTCTCCATGTAGAAGGTTTTCATGGTCCCCAACATTGATTTATGTTACTTTCAACTTCCCTGACTCAAATTATATTTATTCTATCCAAAGTGATGCTAACAATCAGATTTCACAAAGTTTTCAGACAGTTAGTTATATCTACTATCCAATCCCCATTTGCAGACAACATTCCAGTCCAAAGTGAAAGGACCACCTCTTTATCTTAACAAATGTACCTGCAAAACTGTTAAATTCCATTAGTTACATTAAACATTTTGCTGGAAAGCATTACACAAGCTGTTTAAAACAACAAAAAACCTATCAAAGATTCTTTACATAATGCAAGAGAGATAAAAATACAAATCTACTCAGAATCAGCATTTTCACTCTATTGTTCTCTTAAGATGAAAAGTCTGTAAGTCGAGATTTTTTCATGCTCCTTGGACCTTATCAAACCCTAATCTAATTTAATCTAACCTATCATAACTAGTGTTGCCACCTTTGAAAATTGCTGACCCAAACGGCAGGTCAGGTTTGTTCAAACAGAAGTTCTGATGCATGTGCAATGTCATTTTACAATGTGAAGAATAACGTGCATGAAGGTTCTAAATCAGTTACAGTTAGGGACTAGGGACTTGCATAGAAGTAACCTAAATTAAGAAAGAACAGGTACAGATGACTTAGCTCTATTGGATATTGGAGAGACGTGTACAATTGTTGTATGATCATACATGGAAAAAAAAAGGTTGACAGGTTGCGCACCACACGTTGGCATAGACAGACTAACTAACATGGCAGAATTGCAGATGAGTTTCAGTGAGTATGAGTTCTTTCGCTATTAAAATAGTGTAAATTTTTAAAAGTATTTGCAAGAACTTTGTTTCATCATAATTTCACAATTTCTACAAAATTCCCAGACAAAATTAATAGTTCACCCAGACAGTGAGTCAATTCCCAGACTGTCCGGGTGAAAACCAGACAGGTAGTAACATTAATCATAACCTAACTGAAAACTCTTAGCTTGGTTTCCAGTTAGGTTATGATAGGTTAGGTTAAATTAGATTAGGGTTTGTTAGCTTCATCTGGTTAGGTGTATTAAATACTTGGCTTGGATGTCACGCCAACAGTTAACTCAATCAGACTATGAGGCATTATATAGAATTAAAAGAAATATTTTAATCAAGAAGTTTTGATTTAGTCATCTGGTTAGGTTTGTCCTAAGTGATGGTAGGTTAGTTTAGTTAGTAAGTTAACATTTGAAAAAAAAAATAAAAAGAAAAAAAAATAAATAAATAAAATAAAAAATCTGGGGTCTTGCTTGTTTGTCTCTGTTAGTCCGTTCATCTCGTCTAGTTTGTCATGTGTTTGTTTGCTTTTTGCACTGTCCGTCTAGCTGTTAAGTTGTATTAAGATTTGCAGTCACATTCAGTTTTATAGTATTAAGTATTATAGATATAAGTCTTCCTACTAACAACCACTTTGGAACTAACTTCTACACTTAGCTATTCATGGCGGCACTCAATTATTGATGTTCGCTAAACTCAGGTTTTCTTTTATACCCTTTGGGGAACTACAGCCTTGCAGCCTAAAAACCACATTCCAACATCAACATAGAGGGTACTGTAGCCATATGTATGCCATTCAGAGAGATCCTACCTTTCTCTACTGTCTATCTCCTCTCCCTCCTCCTTTCCTTGCCCTTTCCCTCTTTCTGCTGGCTAAACATTTCATGTACGGCCAATGTCTTTCTTTTATGTATGTATATTAAATTGGAGTTTGTATTTAAGACTCCATTGGTAGATTTCTTTGAGAGTGCTATCCCCCCTTGCTTTGAGTTTGGCCCTTGAACAATCCCCAATGAGGATTAAAGTGTCATCGGTGTAAGCAACTATGTGGTCCTGCCCAAAGTCGCAATGCAAGAAAGACTAGAAGGTAACAATCCATAAAAGAGGGCCACAGATGGAGCTCAGTGGCCAACCCCAGACCATGTCACTCTAAAACCGCTGGTTGTCAGATTGGAAGCATGCCTTCCTGCTGTTGAGGAAGTCCTTGATCAGGTTATAAATGTTTCTAGAACTCACATCAGGCCATGTACCGTACATTGTATGTTCTAAATAAAAAATCTGAATCTGAACCTTCTATCAATTATACAAATTCTAATTTCTAATCTCAATAAAAATACATATGTCAATAATGACATTATGTGTTACAATTTTAGTACCACATATGAGCTCTTATTAAAGTTAAGTTAAATATAATGGTGACACAAGAACTTCCAACAGAATGTAGAAGAGCTAGAAACTTTAATTAAACAAATTATAGGTATGAATTCAGTCACAGTATGTAGCTTTTGTTTATTATAAGCTCACTAGCATCCCCTGTCACAGCCTTGCCTGCTCTTATATACATATCGAAAATTTGAACTAATTGTTCATTGATTACTTGTGGATAATCCACATTGTATGTGGAAACCCATTGTAATTTTGAAACTCCGAATAAGATTATTATTATCTTGCATGATTTTCTGCAATCTTTCAATGAATTCTCTTTTCAAAGTTGAGTTTATATTCGATCAGGCTAATATCTGGTCAGATTCAGTCATGAAATAGATCTCTAAAAATATAGGTGTGTCTTCTGGATCAGGAAGTAAACTGCCAATCAAGTGATAAACTTGACCCTGGATTTTAAATGTATGCATGAAATTCCCTTGTCTTATTTCTTTGGCTCTAAATGATGTCATTTGAAATAGAGTGTTATACCATATAGAATTGTTTAAGAAATGTATAGAAAGAGGATCTGTTCCTAAAATTAAATTTTTAATGAAATCAGGAGGTTCTTCAAGTTGTTCAAGAACAATTTTCCCCTCAGCACAGCAAAGTCTAGCAGTTTCATCATACCATTTTTTGGCAAAACAATGATCACATATTTTGATCATTTTACCTCTTTCATATCCAAATAGTCATTTTCAGGATGATAATCAAAAGCTGATTCGAAACCTAAAAAATTCCTTGCTATACGCATTTGATTCTGAGCCAAATGAATTCGTTGCTCTTCCAGTCTTTGAGACAGCTCTGCTGTATATTCACATTGTCTACAATTATGAACAATAATATCTCTAGAACATTTTCTTCCTATTCGTGCTCCCGCAGCCCTCGGCATTATTTATCACTCAATCTCAAAAATATTCACTTGAGATAAATCCAATAACTATTTCGAATATTTTGTACAATTACCTGCAGAAATTAACATATAACGATTCGAAAACCTGCCATAAGTACACATACTGCCATGTAGCATGATGATGTTACTTATTTATTTCCTCAAAGATTTTGCTAATTAACTAATTATAATTTAATGTCAGTTCTTCAAATATAATAGTAAACTTCAATAATCAACTTTTCTTATAGACAGAAAGTACTCATTTATGTGTCGCCAGCTAGTAAAGAGAGAGAGAAATAGACAGCAAAAATCCATTGCAGTTTTATTTAATTAATAAAAAAATCTGTAAATTTAATTAGTGATAAACATTCCGAGGATCATAAAAATGGTACAGTTAAAATTTGGTAATGATTGGTTCAGTAGTTTTCACTGTTAGTGGTCACAAACGAAAAATACATTGTCTCTTTATATAGTAGTATAGATATAGATTATACTACATTCACACTTTGTATTTATCATTAGAACATGTATTAAGCATGTTAAAGCATTTCAAGTTTTTTGTCAAAATGCATTTCGGCTATTCCCAAATACATCAGTCAAACAATTTGCTATTTGCACATTCAACAAATTCTTATGTAAACATCTTCCTAAACCCAATTCATTAGTATAAAGCCATACCTTCCATATAATATCAGGCTATAATTTTAATTACTGTAAATAAAATAAAATAAACCTTTAACTATCCAGCAATAAATAATGTTTAATAAACATTATTTATTGCTGGATAGTTAAAAGTTTATTTTATTTTATTTATATTATTCAATCCAGTATAAGTTCTCTTTTTTATTTATTTATTAATTACTGTAATTACAGTAATTAAAATTATATTTGCCCAATATTATACGGCAGCGGTGTGGCTTTATATAATGCATTCTTCAAAATCTGCATATAAAATTATAGAACTTATCACATTTATATTCAATCAATAAATATATAATTAATAAAACAGTGTAACAGTTAATTTAATCAAATTATACTTACTTTTTTCACATGCAGAAGTTATTGATCTGACAATATCTGTTCTTCCATTAGCTACAGCTGTCGATAAAGAATCTAAAAGTTGTTTATTCATAATACAGAAAATTTCCCTCTATCTTGAAAAATCAATCTGTCAAAATCTGAAAGAATAAACTTTAATTATACTTTGAATAATACAAATAATTTTAACATGTAAAAACGTCTGGAGATTGTTTGTCGTTACCTTTTCGTTATTAAATAAACGAAGAAGTCATTCCAACGTGACAATGATGTTTACATCTATAAAAACTAAAATTCAACAAACGTCATGCCTCAAGCTACATACATGAAAAGAAAAAGTAAGTGCTTCAGTGCCACCTAACGTTCAAAAAATTTCATTTATAATTGGATTAAAATTTTTTAAAAACTTTGCCATATTGCATAAAAATAATATTTTTAATTAAGTAATTTCACTTTAGCACAATATAAATTACATCAGTTTCATATGTTTTATATATAAAAGATTAAATATTGGTAAACCCTATAAATGCTCAAGCCAATGTTGGCATCTCTGTATCTGGGCTTGCATCATAATAGAAAATATATGAATTTAATTACACAATACTATTTGATATTACATTTATTTAAATAATAAATCTGATTCAATAATTATAATTGATACTTACCGGACGATTATCATTATTGTGTGTTTCCTGAATGAAATTGCAAAGATCGATTAAACATTGTATAAATAGTTACACCAATAATTTATTATTTTTAATTAAGAATATATTATTTTTTAACATTGTACATACCATTCCACCAGTTCCACTCTCTATGCACTTAATAAACTCCTAAATATAAATGGTAAATTAGTAATAATTGAGGCACACTTTTATAAAGTTCACATATACCAAAATATAATAAAATCATTATTTATGTAATTACATCTTTNGTTTAATTATTATACGATATAACGAATAAAATATCTAATTATTCTTAATATAATGTTTACTATATCACACAGAAAATAGTTTTTCGCTCCCCGAAATATAAATTGTTACTAATAGCCCTCTCAACATGGAAAAACGCCCACATGGGGGCGATATCGCCCCCGTTGAGAGACACTGATCTATAGTATCTGACACCGTTTTCGAGTTTAAAGGACAGACAGACAGTATCTTTCTTAGATAAGATTTAACTGGGCCTACTGTAGACCTGTTCAAGCCATACTGCCCAGCAACATTGGGCGTCTTCTGCCCTCTCTCTACCTTTGCTATTATACTCTTACTTTTCGAAAAGAAAAACAGGCGCAAAACTTAACGCGTGCTTATCCGACAGTCTCGCGAATACATAAAAAAATTGTTTTGCCAGAAAACAAAAGTCTGGAATTACAAGGGAGAGTTTCAAAGTTCGAATGGGTACTATCCGATCGGTATATACCGGGTTGAGCGTCGATGTCGATGTCTTCCGCACTTCGAAAAGTTTCGAATTGTCGCCCGAAGACAAGGGAAGACAATCGGTACTTTTTATTTTACATCGCTTCTTCTTGTGTTTGTTCTGTGGGGTGTTCGTTGTCCGAACATAAAATTCTTTCGCGAAAGTGTTCGTTATCAGATTTGTTCTTTATCCGATCTGTTCGTTAACCGATCATCCACAGTATATTAATAAATAAAAACGAGAAAAAATTATTGTCACAATGTCGAATTGCAATTTTTAATCAATTTAATTTAAAATATATGCTCTCGATTTTAGTAGCGTATTGCTGCTGTGCATCATATTTTTCCAGATAACAATCGAGTCCTGCTGGTTGTCTGACTGACTCCGTTGTGGATAAAATTTTTCAATTGAAATGACGTGAAAGCGAAGGTCGGTTATAGTTTATCGAATCCCCCTGCCACTAAGCTTCTCATATCTGGTCTTGACTTGCATCTATAGTATCTGACATTGTTTTTGCGTTTAAAGGACACACAACAGTAGGAATTTATTAGTCTACGATGTTTTCAAATTGCAATCCAAAAAATTTAAATTGATTTATTGCACAAAATGTTTTCGTTTCAGATGTAAAAAATGGCTTATAAAGAAAAAAAATTACTAAAACACGACAATGTTTATCTGTCAAAAAATGAGGCAAATTTTGGACGTGCTCATAATGTTCGAATATACGAGGATTTCCTGTATTACAATTACAGCAAAATATGCACTCTCCGAATTACTGATCGAATAAATTAACTTTAACTATAATTAATACAAGCAAGTATCGATGAGACAACTTTTTATTCAAGAAAGTTTTACATAAAGACATTTTAATTATATTAACAATTCGGGTATTAATATAAAGTTGTAATAATGTGATTAAAAAATAACGAAATCTGTTTTGAACAAACTTCTACACGAACTCTGTTTATGTAGAAGTTTGTTCAAACAAAAAATTGCAATTTCAAAATTTCAGTAAATATTAAATTTACTGAAATTTACTGAAATCATGAAAGAATCCATAGAGGAGAAAAGCCTTTCACTTGTGACGAGTGTAAAAAGAAATTTACACAAAGGGGAGACTTAATTAAACATTTTCGCACCCACACCGGAGAAAAGCCTTACAGTTGAGACGAGTGTAAAAAGAAGTTTTCAGAAAAGTCAAACTTAATTAGACACCTTCGGGTCCATACAAGCGAAAAGCCTTACACTTGTGACGAGTGTAAACAGTGCTTTACTACTAAATAAAAATTGCAAATTCATGAAAGAATCCATACAGGAGAAAAGCCTTACACTTGTGATGAGTGTAAACAGAAGTTTACACAAAGATCGACCTTAATTACACACCTCCGAAAACACACTGGAGAAAAGCCCTACAGTTNAAAGTAAATCAACGTGGCAACCTACCGCTCTGGAGAACCGGGATAGAATCCAGATGGGTTCGAAAAATTCCTGGGGATTTTTCAACCCGTCCGGATATGTCAGGCCTCGTCCCTCACTTTCCGGCTACCCCATTGTGGGCCTGGCCAAACACATAATGGGCCCTTTTTTAACTCCCTCCGCCCTGCGGGTACTAAGAGAGCTTCTTTTTTAACAAGCCCATTGGTTCGACCAGGCTCACAATAGAGCGGCCGGGCTTTGAGGAACGGAGTTCAACATATCCGGACGGACCACTTCCAAAAAATTCCTAGGTATTTTTGACCCGTCCGGATTTGATCTCGGGTCCCCACAGCGGTAGGCTCCGTTATCCGACCATTCATAATGAGCTTGCCCGAAGGGAGGAAAGAGTTAAAAATAATAATAATAACTTCTAAGGGCTCAATTACATTGGGCATATTTACTAGATACTTGCTCGCGCTTTGGTAAGTAAATAGTAAACTTCGCGAGTTTACACAAACAGTGAGTACTAATTACACTAAGTAGGGTTCCTCAAACAGGATCCCGGTTGTTTTTTTAACCCAGGAAAGACTCCGGGAAATCCCACAAATTTCTTAAAAGTTCAGTTTTTTTCTTATTTTGCTAATTTTATAATATAATCGAGATAGGTTGATAATAATAATAATAATAAGCGCAGAGCCTAAACGGTTAGGAGTCAAAAGCTGAAATTTGGTATACAGCATATGCCATGCCAATGCATACTAAGATGGGATTTTTTTGAAATTCCCCCGCGGGTGCAGAAGAAGACGGTTAAGGATTACCCCGAAGAACTTAGATTCTATTGTACTATTTTAGATGCGGTATTTTGCGTTTCTGCGAGAAATCGAGCATATTTTTAGACCCATCTAAAAGTTCTCTACTTAGTATCGGAAGAGGGGGACTTAATTCTTCCACACAGTGAAAACGAGTAAGATCGCCTATAATCTAATAATCTTAATATTTGTTATCATTACTTTTTGCCCGAGCAACGTCTGCTTGTATAAATCTAATAATAAAATATAATTGTTTAAGTACAGATTACCTAATAATATTTAATATACAGTAGATCCCCCTATAAGACGGGTTCCTATAATTATGATTCCTATAAGACGGCGAAAAAATTGTGGCGGTATCCGTAAACAACGGTAAAAAAAACTCCTATAATTACGTAAGACGTCATCGGGCAGCCGAACTACTTTCCGCTGTCCAGCGCCACGCTACGGACAGTTTAGGCGGGTAAATTGAGTTTAGTATCGTTTGTACATATAATTATATATAAATTANATAAATAGTTACACCAATAATTTATTATTTTTAATTAAGAATATATTATTTTTTAACATTGTACATACCATTCCACCAGTTCCACTCTCTATGCACTTAATAAACTCCTAAATATAAATGGTAAATTAGTAATAATTGAGGCACACTTTTATAAAGTTCACATATACCAAAATATAATAAAATCATTATTTATGTAATTACATCTTTAAATTCAGGGTCTGTCTTATCAGCATTCTCTTTGCAACACGTTTCTATCTAAATAATAAACAAATTTGAACGAATTAGTTATAAAGGACAAGTTAACCTTTATTTTATTTTCAGCATAATTCAAAATAATTAATTATTCCGTTCTTAGCAGTAACTTGAATAAATTTATACATGTAAAAATTGATATTAATGTTATGATGTGAATTTACAAGATAACATTACGAGCAATTATTTATTCTGACATCATCAGAGGAATCGATGCAGAGTTGCAATTTTCATTTATCGTTTAATTTTTAAAAAATTACGACACTTCCGACTCAGCCCGGAGAACTAAATATTTACTTACTCAGGGCCTCCGGCCCCCACGATTTCGACATCTGGTCTCGATTTTCATCTATTTAACTCATTTTTTGAGATTAGAAGAAAACGGACGGACGGGCGATAGAGGAAATGTATAGGTCTGCAATTTGTAAATTGCAGCTCAGTTATGATAATAATTTATTTCTCTTCAACGCGAGCATTTGTATTGAACTAGAGTGAGCACACAACGATTAAAATTAATAATAAATAAAATAAATACATTTACGATTCTAACGAAGAAAAAATTAAAATAATAATACAACTTTTTCAGAAACTAATAACATCTTGTATTGGCAACGCTGTGCAACTGATGGACTAATTTACGTACTCATAACTAAGATTAAGAATCAAGAGTTAGAATTAAAAGTTTGTCCATAAGCATGGACGTATTAAAACTAAAGTCAATAAGTAGTTTACTTCTTACACAAACTCTTGACCCGTTGTTTTAATACGGCCATAAGAGTGTCCGAAATGCATTTCTAAAGGATAGCACCACAGACAAATAAAGTACTTTTGACAAAATAATCGCTTTCTGGTTCATGTGATCTCANATTTTGTAAATGTTGAGTCGGATTAGTCTAGAATCGATTAATTTTATGGAAGAAAACCTTTCAAATAGCCGTAGTCCGTAAACTTCACACGTGTCGGGCTGTGATTGGCTGTGATTCCTACAAAATTGATTCATAAAGAACGGAACGTATCTACCGTCTTATAGGGGGATCGACTGTATATTATATAAACTGTATACACAAAATGTAAGCACGTTTAGTTTTATAAGAAATAATAATACATTAAAAAATTTCAAAATTGTTTTCTCGCTTTTTCGTTTGCAAATTGGTCAATCATTTTCTTCAGACCAAGTTGACAAGCTATTGTTTTTTCAATTGATATAGTCAGGGGCGGATCTGTTTTTCGGGGGGCATAGTGCTTATTGAAGCCCAATGGGAACCCATTTTTTTTGTTAATACAAATAATACTATAAGTTATCATAATTATATTATTATTAATAATAACTATTTTTTACTATACGATAAATGCTCATTGTTAATGAAAAAGTATTAAAAATTTATGATGGTAATTCAATTCTTGTGGAACCTTGACAATTGGGTGCCCAGGGCTTAAGCCGTATTAGTTTCTATGTAGATCCGCCCCTGAATATAGTAACCAGAGTTAAGACGGTGTTATGACATTCTGCTTCTTAAATAAGCTTTGATTAATTTTAGTTTTGAAAAACTTCTTTGTCGTCACCCATAAAGTTAAAAAAAAATGAGGTATGCTGCTATAATGTCGGAGAACCTATTTGAGGATGAGGTGTGAAATAAAAGTAGTTCGGCAACTTCGCTTATAGAAGTAATTTCTTTTACCTGACTATAAAAACACATTTTAAATCGAAGCAGTTGAGGTCCAAAAGTAGGCGAATATGCTGACTGTAACAATTCTGATTGTTTCAGAATATTTTCATCAGATGACGCGACAAGATATGCAGGCGAAAAGCAATTGAAAAGTGTACATAATTGTCGAACGGATTCAAATCTAATAGTTAATTGATTAATTATTACATCCAAAAGTTTTTTACAAATGTTTTTACAAGTTTTTATTTTGCCCTTTATAATTTGGCGCCCTCATGATTCGTGCGCCTGGAGCAGTTTGCTGCAACTGCTCCACGGTAGCTACGCCTCTGGTCAGAACCTGTAATATCTGTAATAATTGTGCTTATGCTGTCTTAATTTTTAACTATACCCAGTAGCTTCAATAAATGCGTAACGCCAGATTGTGCAAATTGGGCAAGGATACAAACGAGTACGAAGTCTGCAAGTATGAAGTTTTTGACGTGAATACGTCTTTAAATTTGCTTCCGTAGTGGGAGGCAATTCAGAAAAATGATAACAAATCGGGGATACAGTTTGGCATTGCAGCTATATATCTATCATCTACATCCGAAATTTAATTACACCACTCGATAGTTAAAGGATCAAAGGATTACGTTGAGTGGGGACTGTGACGTATCGCGCTCGGCGGAGGGGGAAGCGCCGCCGTTTTGAGGTCGTTTCGCCGCGTCAAATACTTTCCGTTTATTATACATTTTGATTCGGAGAAGCTCGCTCGTTTCAATTTCAATTTACCGTTCTCGTCAATATTTATCGATTGCGTACACAAAACGTTAGTGTGGAATAGTTATGGTGAATATATATGGTGTTAAATTAAAGTTAAAAATTAAGAAAAGTTAATACAATGTCGGTCTATACTCGTCGAAAATCCAAATCAAAATATAGAAATCGTATACGGTTAGAAAGGGCTTCTCAAGAGCAATCCAGTGATTTTTTTGAATTTTTTTTTAACTCTTTCCGCCCTGTGGGCACTAAGAGGTCCTCTTTTTGCAAGCCCATTATGGGTTCGGCCAGGCCTACAATGGGGCTGCCGGGTGGTAAAGTACGGAGCCCGACATATCTGAACGGACTGCCCCCCGAAAAATTCCTGGGGATTTTTCGACCCGTTCGAATTCGAACCCAGGTCCCCAAAGCGGTAGGCTGCCACCTTGACCGCTCGGCCATCCGGCCGCATATTTAGGATTTAATTATTTCAGTCGAAGCGGTAGGCTGCCACCTTGACCGCTCGGCCATCCGGCCGCTGAGTGATTGGCGTATTGACCATCTTTGCTTTTTTAAATTGTATTATAAAAATTTACAATAATATTGTGTATTACGTTTTATATAAAAAACGAAAATTACCTTTTAATTAAGTTAGAAGTTTGATCTAATTTTTTTTTTAATTTTCAACTGAATTCAAAGCATTTTTTTTGTTGTTGTTGTTGTTATTGTTGTATGCAGAGGGCGCCAAATGGTCTCCAAGACAAACAAGATTTGTTTCTGGAGGGGGAGGGGGCGCCAATATAGTGTCGTGGCCCGGGCGCCAGTTATGTTCGATACGCCATTGGCTTTCATTCCGGAATAAGTAAAAGACCGGGAAATGAGAAACCCTGACACTAATCTAGTGAATTCGCGTTCAGGATTATACTAAAAAGTCATAAAATATAATATTCTTAAACTATGTGATAACATGAAACATTATTTTTTAAACAAAAACATCGTGTCTTTTCTGAAATAAGTTTATATATATTCTGAAAGAAACAATTTAAGTTATTGTTTAACAGATTTCTTAGAAAATTGTTATTATGCATTTTTCTTCCATCATCTCTTGAAGCCTTTTATTAAAATGCAAGCAACAGCTAAAATTCCTACAAAGAGCGACTTCAGCCAACAGATGTATTTCTTATACAGACTTATCTACTCGCTGCATATGATTACATAGAGAGAATTTCTTAGACAGAGAGTAAATTCGCGAGCGAGAAGCGACAAAAGTAGCCCGGTCCTCAACTTTACTCGCTCGGATAAATCGTCAAACGAATTTACTAGCAAAACAATTACGTTGAATCAATTTAATAGCAACGAGTGGCTGTTAAACTCGCCCACAGTAATGATATTGTAAAATTTTCATTACATTACATTGAAGACCTAATACGTTTGAGTGATTGACGCGAAAAAACACCGCATTAATAATAATAAATAAGAATTTTTTAACATTAATGGTTGACACAGTAGCAGACGCTTTGCAAAGTCTACATTCGGCTCAGAAATTTTCATGAATAGTTTGACTCGAATAATTTAGACTCATCTCTCACAATATTGTGGGCCTGATAAACACAAGTTAAACAGGGAAAAGCTCTTTTTATCGTCATGAGCAAAACGAATTTATAAAAATAAAAAACCTAATTTAAAAAGAGTAATTATATTTAAATATATTTTTAAAAAATTGATATTAATTTATTAAAATTAATAAATATCTTCACATTTTTAATGAAATATTTTAACTAAATTTTAAAATAATTTTTAACAGTTGGCAACTTCTTTAATATTATTAGTCACGTGTATACGGTAGCCAATCGGAATGTTACTTTCGGTTCCGGCGTAGCAAACGAATTTTCGTGTTTAGGCGGTGAATTTCCAACATGGAGGCGAACGAGTCGGTTGTTAATTTCGGTAACTGTGACTTATGGTCACCTTTTAAAGATCTTTATGCCGTAATAGATGCGGCTTTGATCAAGAAAGATTTAGAAGCATTGCCAGACTTGGAAGCCGCTTTACGAAAGCACAAACCTAACTTTATTTCTTTATTTAAGAATCCTTCCAAAAATGCAGTCTCTAGAGAAGCTGTTAAGAAGTCTTCCACCGAAGGAATACGTGTCTTGGGACAGACTGGACTTCAGATTTTACATCAGAGTTTGGTAGATGAAAGTTTGATCATCAGTGATATGTTTGACTTAAATGAACTCAATGCATTGGAATTATTGGTCGCAGGTCAGCTACAACAACCCCACTTTCCGGGAATGACTCGAGGATTGGTTGCCGTTCTGCTCTACTATGACGGGAGGAGAACCCTCGTCAGTTCCCTTCGCGCGCTGATTAACGCTCGGAGGGGGCGCACTTGGACTTACGGACTGAATAGCGAACTCACCGCCATGATTACGAGATACACCGATCAGTTGAAGGACGAGAACGTGGTGACGAAGGTGATCGATCTGATCAAGCAAATAGATTTACCCAACGAGTTGCATCTGTTACAGAAAAATAGAGCATTGGGAGGACCACGATATAGAAAACAAGTCGTGGATTTAATCCAGGAAATTAGGCAGACTTTGGCAGATATCATTTTTGGTTGGTCGTGTCAGGGTCAGCTGTCTAATAACGAAACCTTGTATCTGTTGGATTATATTTCAAAACAGTCTTGCAGTGCGGACGGCTCTCTGGATAATGTTACGTTGACACTTTTGATGTCTTTACTTAATGTGATTGACGTAAGCATTCTGCAAACGTGTGAAGACAGCGATGAAGTTGTGCAGTTCTTGCATGTTGTAGCCGATCATGAAATTATACCTTCTTTGCACAAAGAACTGTTTGCGTCAGAAAGGAATTGGCAGACTCCAAAATTGAAAACGATTGTACAGTTTGCTTGGGCTGTTATGTTACACACGTTGTTGCAGTTTCCTCTTCCGTCTCTCATGGAAGAATTTAATCAGTTTATGGAACAAGATGAGAAAACAATAGATATTGCCATTGAAGATAATGCATTTGAATCATTACTCCATTTAGTAGTATCTAGCAATATGTTTCATCAAGAAGAATTTTTTGTAAAACGTATTCATACATTAATTACAGATTTTATTGTTTTAATGCCTCTTAAAGTAAAAGAATTGAGAAATAGAGGTGATGATGCGGCACGGACTATATTAGCTCACATGCAGGAAGGTATTTTACCACCGCCCAATCTTTCTCATCATCTAGAACATTTGATGCAACTAATCACTCATTTATACAAAGATGATCCTTTGAATTTGGAATTAGCTTTAGATTACTGGTGTCCAACTGAAGTTCCAACTGATCAGGGGTATTCGTACAGACCACCCCAAAGACAAGTCTCTCTTTACAAGTTTATCAGACTGTCGGGAGATATGTTGCCTGCACCTTTATTTGTACCTTATGTTGATATGCTTGCAGGTCTTTCTGGATCAAAATTGTGTGCCCATCACTGTTATATGCTGTTAAAATTAAATGGAAAAAATTCAACTGGACAGTGTAGTATTGTTTCGTGGGACCATATATTTGCATCACTCAATCGTTACTATACGAGTTTAAGAATAGAGTTACCGCCTGCTTCTAACCAGTATACTTATCGTCAGCATTCTGCAATGAGAGGAATTACTCCAGAAGAGGTGGAAGGATTAATTTCAGCATTACGATTAATTGAAACTGTCGTATCAAATGATGAAATGGCACGAATTTCTTTGTGTGATGTTCCACAATATATGCCATTAACAGTTCTTTTAGGAGTAGTTGGATGTAGTGTACCACCTGAATTAAAAGCAGCTTTATTAAAAACATTGTCAGCATTTGCTCTATCTGCAAACATTGCATCAAATCTTTGGCAATCTTTAGAATCATTTCAAATTATTCCAACTATAAAAACTACTTCAGTTTATCAACCAAGTGGAATTCATATAGAATTAGAAGAAGTAGAAGCAAGAAATGAAGAATTTCCAATTACAAGAGCAATGCTTAAGTTGTTAAATGTGCTTTTTGATCATCCTTTGCCGTCTGCTTTAGGTTCGGGTCAACGTACTCCGGGCTTTGCTCCTTACCTTGAATATATTATTGATCTCGTATTTCTTCGTTTTAGTACCAGAGCATATAGAAGAGAAGAAGAAAAGTGGGAAATTGCAAAACTGTGCTTGCAAATATTTGTAAAATTACTTCAAGATAATGATGTTAAATCAGATATTCGAAATGGCATGCTAAATGATATGTCAAGTTCAGGAATGATGCCTTCTGTGCCACTAGATTACATTCTTATGACCCAGTTATTAAGAGAGAGTGGTCTGTTAAGAACTATAATGTATATTCTGGATGAAGGATCTTGTATTTTGAGTTTATACATGACAACTCAAGGCCAAAAGCAACTAGAAATGTGCACTTTGTTATGTTTGAAACTTCTTCAGAAAGCTCTCATTCACCAACCATTATTTCTTCAACAAGTGAGAGAAGGAAATAACTCTATTATTGTTTCTAATCTGGATCAGTTATTAATGGGTATTAATCCGAGACATGGGTGTGCAGATTATTTAGTAATTGTAGCAAAATTTGTTGGATATAATGCTTTTTTGCCTAAACATGCTCTTGCTGCAGTTCGTATTTTAAGACACATATGCTCTAATAATGGAGTGGCACAACATCTTGCCACAGCTTTTGCTACTGATGAAAATGAAAGTAAAACATTGTTACATGGATTTGTTGAATGTTTAGACACAAATGTCTTAGAAGAAATTGACGAAAATAAAGAAGAAAAAGACTGGTCTTCAGCTAATTTTTATAATGCTATTTGTCAAGAGCTTCTTAATTTACTCCTAACATGTTTAAAGCACCCAACTCCTAACATAGCTCATTTCCTGCTTGGTTTTCAACCAAAACATGCAATGTCAGAAATAACTCTACAGGATCCTGGTGTTTTGGGATCACCTCGTACTTGCCTACATGCTGTGTTATCAATGTTGGATAGAGGCATTGATTTATATAATTATCCAACTTGTGTTAATGAATTTCCTCATGTAGCAGAGTTAGCTTTCCAATTAATTTATGTTCTTAGCAGAAATAAAGATACATCAGGTCCAACCTTAAGATATTTACGAACAACATACGATTTTCTTTATCATCATCTCCAATTCCTACCATACAAAATCAAGAAAAATAATATAAAAACTTTGGCTTGCCAGTCTTGGTTACTTAAAACAGTTGCAACAGAGCTGAGAGTTACAGCAGCTCATAATCAAAGGTCACATGTACAGCGACTTTTAAATATTTTGCTTAATGATTCTTTTAGATCAACTAATGGTGTTGATATTGCAGAAGCTTCTGCAACTCCTAGTTCTATGTTTGTGTCTGTTGTAACTTCTATTTCTGAACCAATACGTAGAAAATTAATGCAAATATTAGATAAGTTAGAATTCACACAAAACTGGCCAGCACCGCCTGAATGGGAATATTTTGACATGATTGAAATTGAACGTTTATTCAAAGCAAATGAATTGGATAAAAAAGATGGTTTCTCCCAAATTAATGTCAAAAATATTCAAAAACAGCTTTCAGAAGAGTTGATTAGTCTACAGGGTATATCTGCAGTTGGTCAACGATCTGTGATTTCTCAAGAGGTTCAAAGCATTATTCATTATGCTAAATTAATAAATAATGTTAAAGAGAAAAAATATATTAAAAGTCAAGCTTTTGAAGCATGGCATTTAGTAACAGAAATTGTTTTAACAGTTTGTCCATTAGATATGCTGGAATTAGAACAAAAGCATCAAGTTATCTTAGAAATTTCACAGGAACTATTACAAAGAATACTAATTGATGACACTTTGTCTGAAATCACTGCTTCAGCATCAGGTGTAATATTAATGCTGATGACAACACTTCATCATAATTTGAATCCAAATATTGTTGCAGCTGAAACAAGTTCTATTCAAGTTTCCCAAATGGATATAAGTAACATTAGTCTTCCTACTCCAGCTCAGTATACTGCACTTGTCATAATATTAAAGCGTATCACCGAATGTTTGTTGCGAACGGGTGGAGGGAATCAGAGAGTCAGGATTAATTATTACGGAGCATTACTTAATCTTCTTGGAACCGTAAATCATTCTTCTAATACTAATTTAATGAGAACTCAAGGAGAAGTAGAGGTTCTGGGACAGGAATCCGAGTCTGAAAAAATAAGTCGAGAATATACAGAAGCCATTTTAGAGTTTGGTGAAACCATAATGGAAATTGTTTGTAGGGATGCTTGTAGTGGTCATGACATTACAAAAATGCTTGCTTTATCTTTATTAGACATGGCTATATTTTTGGATCACCAGCATCAATGGTTAAATTTCTTGATATCCAGAGGATACTTGCGTCATTTCATTGATAGCTTACTGAAAGATGATAAAGAATTACAAAATATTTTGACAAAAGGTTCAAATTCACTAAGAAGTGTGTATGTTTTTGAATCAAAGCTATCCTTGTTTACAAGAATTGGCAATTCTCCCATTGGTGCTCAAGCACTTTTGAGAAATGGCATTATGGAGAGGTTAACAGAATGTGGTTGCTTAGATTTGAGACCAGAAATTTACAGAGATTTTCACTTAGAAGAAAATATTAAGAAAAATACTTGGTTACTACCAAATTTGTTTCAGTGCTACCAACAAATAATAATACCAGCTTTGAGAGTTATATTAAGTATGATGACATCAACAAGTCCAAAACATCTGCAAGGTGAACAACAGTTGCTGAATTTTATATTAGCTCATAGTGGAATATTTTCAGATATTCTGAGAGATCGTTCAGCACTAAAAAGACTCGATTCATTAGCCGAACTTTCTTTAGTTACTGCAGTTTTATCAAGAGCAACACTAAATGAATCGAGTGAAGTTCCTGAAGTTACCCATATTGAAACTAGAGGTCAAATTGCATTGTTGAGACATCAGTTACTTGCCTTATTACCTGTTTTAATTTCACATAATTGGGATTCGTATCAATTTGTAGTGCTTTTAGATGATTCAGTTGATAATGTTATGCTCAAAGTTAAAATACTTGAGCTGGTTTCTAATGTGTTAAGTAGTTGTAGAATGGTGGTGGCATCATCTGGTCGTGGAATTTTGTCTAGAATTCTCTTTACGCCCAATCTTTCAGAATCATTAAATTCAGAAAAAAGTCACACTTCTGATACACACATGCAAAGTGTGCCTACTAGTCGTCATCCACCTGGAATTGGTATGTTAATTCTATTGTTGCGGCAGTGTAGTTTACAGCTCCAAGTAGCAGTAAATGCACAAAAGAATTTTCAGCAAAGAATAGAAGGCTTGCCGAATTTGAGTTTTGAAAAAATGTCAGAAAATTTACCATCAGGAATCAAAACAAATCCTGTTGTTCCGCATAGAAAAGAAATGGTTTATCAGACATTAAATAAACTCATTTTTCAGTATAGCCAAATGGCAAATATATTACGTTACATTATTGAAGTATCAGTGTATTTGTTATGGCACCACCTGCATTTCTTTCTTCAGACTTACATGGGAGAGGATTTAATTTATAGTAAACAGATTACACAACCTAAGCCTATTCGTAAATTACAAGCTGTCCAAGAACCAACCAAAGAAATACCAAGTTACGTTCATCCCAAGTCACAAGTAACAGAAGATTGGTTAACCCAATCTGACATTAAAAATTTAAAAGCCGATATTTCAAATGTAATGAATGATTATTTCTTTAATGAATTACAGTCCATTGAACAATATTTTCAAGAAGACTCTAAACGTATTGGATTTTTTGAAGCAGTTGTGTGTCGTTTGAAACGTCTAGTTCAACAATGTACATAATTTTTTGTATTTTTATCATTTTAATTATGTTCTTCAGTTTTTTTTTAATTAAAACAATGTGTACTTTGTTAGAATTTGTATGTTTTCATCAAATAAATGAAAAAATGCTTCTTTATTTTATTGTAATACATTGATTAAATACAGTAAGCTTAAATCACCCTAAGTTTATTTATAATAAACAACTTAGACCTGCCATAAAATTTAGCAATGCCAATTGAAAATATTTTCTTTTAGGTCACCACAATTAATCTAAAAAGTATAATTTCCATAATTTCAATGTATAAAGATGAAATTATTGGCTCTTTTTTTTTTTTTTTAATCCTGAAGGCTTTAAAAATTTGTTTTCTGAAACTGTGTTTTTGTATTTATTGACTATCGAACACAAGACTGTTATTAATTAAATACTTGGCGTTTTTCCTCTTTATTCAGTTGGTACGGGTACGTTTACACATTTTGGGTGCTTAGCCCCTCATCAGTCATTAAATGCAATGTATGCATGCAATGACACTTATACAGCACAAGTTCTTGTTAAGTATGTACAATACAATATTGAGCTTGGTTCCGAGCTCAATATTGTGTAATGAACCAAAAACAAATTTTGTTATAGTAAGTTAAGTGAAGTTTATCTGATTCTGTTGTGCGCCAAAGAAAAATTGAAAGCCAGCCAAATATATCCATCAATCTTGGAAAGGAATCAGCCAATATATTCATCAACTTTAGTAAGAAGATGGAAGATATATTGTGTCTACTTAACAATGTATGTAGATTTTATAGCGTTGATGTAGTCAACTTATCCTCCCAATAAGAAGAACGAGAACTTGTGCTGTATAAGTGTCGTTGCATACATTGCGTGTTTAATGACTGATGAGGGGCTAAGCGCCCGAAATGTGTAAAAGTACCCGTATCAACTGAATAAAGAGGAAAAACGCCAAGTGTTTAATTAATAACACAGTCTTGTGTTCAATAGTGAAAAAAGGCTTTAAAAATGTTTTTATTTCCATTGTGGATTTGATTAGGCCCACATTCAGAGCGAGGGACAAGAACAACATTCGGATCAAATTACTCAGAAATAATTTTACTATATATTAAAAGATTCTCTTATTGGTCATGTTTTTTGACATTGGGGTGGGTAGTCCCAGCTATATACATCACTACAGTGCATTTACACACAAATGATGAATGCAACCAAATGTAGAATTTTATCAGATTTTGGATGGGGCTATATAAACATTAAAATGCATTGCCATGGTACAAGGAAAATAGATTAAAGTCAGGAAATCACAAGCCTGTACAATCATGAATCTATCAAAAACTCATGATTTTCATTTTCTCTTGTATTTTTTGTGAATACAGATGATTAAGATTAACAAACTATGGCTCCACACCATTACAATCTTGTGTGGACATCCTTTTACTGATAAAGTATGTTATTGTTCTGGTGTCCATTCTCAGCCCATGCTCAAATGAGGTAGTAACCTTGGGCTTTAGTAGTGCCTTGCTGAGAATAATCACCAGTTCAAACAAGTTATAATGAAATTTAAACCTATAATCTGCATTTCCTTCTCAAATCTAATAAACTAATAAGTAAAAATAAAAAAAAAATTATTGTGTTGGGCTTGGTTTATGTGTAATTATTATTAAATGAAAACAAGTATACTTTAAACATTTTATTTACTGCATAAATCTGTACAATTACATTTAATTTTTCTGTTTTTTTAATTTATAAAAAATTAATCGGAGGAAGTCTTTTTGTCTTTGATTCCCCACATCTGAAGATCCAATTCTCTTGTTTTTGTATCACCAAATAATTCTCCTAATCTGTAAAATCCTAAATAAAAAATTGAGGGATGATATGGCAAATTTCATAAATAAAATGTTAAAAAATTTAAAAGAAATTTATGCATTAATAAATCATTTGTTTATATTATACTGTATTTCCTGCCTTTTAAGATACATATTTTTTTGTGCATTTTTACTTCTTTGAAACAGAGATATATCTTAAAATTGACAAGTGTCCAAAATAACAACCCACAATTATTGTAAGTAGACCACATCCACCAATAATGTACTGTACTAATAGATATTTTCAGCTACTCTTCAGCAATCAGATTAAGCAAGCTTTGCTAACAACTAGAGCTATGAAACTGCTGACTTCAACTGCATAATGTTTTATAAAACTTTAATATATATTAATGATGATAAAGGGTTTTAAGATATTTTATTGCCACCATGTGAATCATCATGCTATTTTTTAGACAACTTACGTTTAAATGAAAATGTTGAGTCATACATACAATTTTTTACCAACTCTCTTCTGACTGACTACTTAACCATGCTGGTAATGAGTATTTAATTTAAACTCATTTTTAACATTTAAAATGCCTTCAAGGTAACATTGTGTTGCATATTAAAAAGTTATTGTATGCGCAGAAAGGTAAGAAAACAGTTGTCAAACATTAGCTATTTAATGGCATTTGGCTGTTTACTAACTTGCTAACAATACTGTACTTAATAAAATTGGTTATTTAAAAATTTCTCCATAAAAATCTTAAAATTCAGTTTCAAAATCTTTGTGTATCTTAGAATAGAAATACAGTATGACGTTACACATACAAAACCTTTGCATTCCAAATCTAATACAGTATTGCCATCTAATAATATAAAAATGAGAAATGGTAAAAATTGCATTTTACATTGGCTAAAGCTATCTTAAAACATTTTAAATAAAAAACAGTAAAACCCATGCTTTTGGATAAGCTATTTTTAAACAGTTTTAAGGTATCTCTACTCTGCCTTTTAGAATACATTTTTTATTATGTAGATATAGCCAAATTGTTTCAAAAGCATTAATTAATTAAAACTGACTTCTCAAAAGGACCAAATTTTATAAATTTAAACTACTTTTGTTAATTATAGATATTTTGGATTAAACACGATCAATTTATATTCTTGTATAATAGTTGCCAAATTATTTATTTTTTGTTTAAAATCATAGCAATTTCAAACTAACCAATTGAATTTTTTTTTTTTATCTTGGCTTTATAATACAATATCTTCTCAAAGTTACTTTTCTCCTATCATAGCTCCTGAATTTATTTTTTTTAATTCAGGAGCTATAATAGAAGCTAATTGAATTCTGTGCACTAAAATAGCCTTTCATTCCATTGTCATTACAAATTTGGCTGCATGGCAAAGAAAAGTACGTGATAAATTCAGATCAACCTAGCTATGAAAATTTCCAAATCAATCCAGACTCAAATCTTGAATCCAGGAGTGAAAGATTAGAGACTATCTCAACCATTCTGGCATCAAATCAATTTTAAGAAGCCAAAGTTGCTGAAATTTAAAATGTTTTCAGAATATTTTACTTTCTATCAACATAATGGAAAATATGGTTCTCAAACTGTGACCCAAAGTTGTGTCTCACATTGGGGCACAAGATCTTTCACATTAGTAATGAGTGAACACATATAATACTTTATACTTGTGGTTAATAGCCAAGACCTTTAAACATCATGGTAATGGAAATTGATATATGTGTGATAGAAACATAGGATTTTGGTGCAGCGAGCTCAAGTTAAAAAGTGGGGGCAGTCAGTAGTCTCAAAACAGTTTGACATTCTTTTGTTTGGTTTTTCTGTTAAACAGGAGTGACAAATGTTTCCACTTTAGACTCAATATAACTAGCCTTTTTCCAGGTATCTGAATCATTGGTTTGAAATGTAATCAAAGGTACCATATACTCTATCTGTCTTTCTTGTTTCTTTATTTGATGGCCTGCAAAATTTGATTATACATTTATGCTTATTTAATTATGTTCTACATGTACAAAATTTTATGAAAATAGGCCACTGGCATGATTGGAGGTTTCCTTGTAAGATAAGTAAGATCAGTATGATTTTATGAAAACTTTGGAAAGGTGCAAAAATTTTCTTTGAAAAAGGAGATTGCTTTTTAAATAGTTTGAAAAACCACTAATCAATACTATTAAAGAACTTATTAATGTATAAAATAAGTATTTTAAATCTAATTGTTAATATAAATTTCAATAAAATGTCATTGAAAGTACTGATAATTCAACTTTGAAATAGTTTTTACTTACCATCTAACATTGTGTAATTTTGGTCATACATTTTACGTCTGAATTCTAAAATAATAAAAAAAATAGCATTTAGTACATCTAATTTTAATTGTTGATTTTTATTTTATACCATATTAACATAAAAATTACTTTCTAAAGTCAAAATTATTAAAAAGAATTACTGGTATCTAAACTGAGTTTAATTCTTCAGATGCTCTACATTATTTTATAATTTTAGTTAAGCATAATACTTTCAGTAAAAGAAATAACCATGATTTAATAAACTTAAATACCAGGTGACTGTAATTAAAGTACTCTATTCAACACTGTCTGATGAATATTTGACAGTGCAATTGCAACCAAATTTAACAAATTATGATACAATTCTGTATAGAAATGTGTTAGGCATGTCCTAAAATGTCATCACAGTAAATCTATGATGAGATTTGGTTGCATCTGAATGGCTAAATATCTCTAAATACAGCATTGAATATATAATCCCTTTAATTATGATCATCTGGTATATGACTGAAGTAAGCTTCAGATCTGTAATCTTACAAGTTAGGAACAATTGTGTTAAGAACAATAGACAGTCTGACTTAAGACACAGACTGTCATCTTACATCAGAAAATGTTACGATAAAATAATAATTTACTGAGTGAATATAGTTGATTTTCAATTTGATAGACTCCAATTTAATGGCTTTTGGAACCAACAAATCAAAAATTAGTGGAATCCCAAAAACATGATAAGATTTTCATAAGAGTTAGTTCTGTCTTGGTGTGAGCCCTCTTCCTATTCTTTCCTTCAATCTACTGCTCTTCTTGTAAAAATGTGATCAAGTGAACCTGAATAGCCACTTAATTATTCTAAGTTTCAATAAAACTTTACAGTAGTACATTCCAATCTCTCCACCACTCAAGGTAAATATAGCATTTTAACATTTACTTTGAGCCACGTGTACGAGGTTTGAAATATAGAAATGAATATAAAATAGTTGTGTGTGCATGGATTTATTATTTAATGTCCCCTAGATATTACAAACAGTCCACAATTATGGACACCCTATCCCTCTATTAGTTTGTTAAGTAGAGGAATGATGTACATACACTAATCTAGAACAATAAAACAATTACAAATTATAAGTAATTTTATAAATACATACCACTAGAAGTGTTCATTTTATGATAATAATAATATGACACAGCAAAAAATCCAACTTCAATAGCTACCAGACCTTTGAACAAGGTTCCAAGATTTCTTTTGGTAAATTTCTGAAGCATTATACAATCCTGTTAAAAATATTTTAATTTTCAGATAATTAATGCAACATTTTTAATATGAGATTTGATATAAGCACGTAAAAAGTTATTTTTTTAAAACTGAATTAAAGAGAGAAAAAATTTCGGATACTTTCATCACTATAATGATTAATAACTTTATGAGAAAACACGAACAAGTCTGTGTAAATATTCTATTAATGAATATAGAAACAAAAATAAAAACTATGAATAAATTCTATTGTTGTTAATCTATATCAAAACTTATTTTGTAAAAATTATTGAATAAAAATATAAGAAGTATCATTAAAAACAGGATAAAAACAGTACACATCTGAACCTTAAAGAAATTCCAAGATATTTTTATGCAAACATAAATGTTTTTGATCTACGCAGGAGATCTTCAGGTTAAAATGTTTTCAAGTGGAATGCAGAAAAGGAACATTCTTAAGTTCATTTGAAAAAACATATAAATGTATTATTTAAAAAAAACATATAAACAAGAATATCCTGGAATTTCTTTTAACGTTCAGATTTGAAATTTTTTTATGTTAATATATTCCAGGCTTACAGTGTTGGAGCATGCTGGCTAGTTTATATAAAAACGGGATAAAATCAGATATAAAACAACATTGCTAATTGGCAGTGTTGTTTCATATCTGATTTTTAGACATCATTCAATAAGATAATTGTTCTGGCATTGAATGATCCAAGTTCAAATTTAATTCTCCTGATTTTTTTGGTAATAATTCTAAGTTGAATTATCATTCCTCTATCCTTCTATATGTTGGCTAACTCTATTAAATGGTCAGACTTATCTACAATAGGTAAATTGAGATAGACGCACAATATATTGTATATTGTTCTGTCAGTATTCTTCAGATAACATAAATAATAATTTATCAATCTACTGTTGTGATGGATCCAGATTCTAATTCAATCTGTACTTTATAATTTATTGCATAATAATTTGTGTTGGAACATTATTTCCTATAGCTTACGGTATGCAGAATGCCACCAGAGTAACCCAAGCTCACAGTAATGGCCAACTCTATTGCAGTTCTGGTTTGCACAAAATGGGCAAAAATTTAGTCTGTAGAGCTCAATTTATACAGGCTGGTTCAGTGAAAGATGCATATAAATCAAAATTATGTAAATTATGACTAAAATTTATGTAGGAAATATGGAATATTGGAACCAATATCCATATTTTCTATATAAATGCTAGACTTGGTTTATACATTTTCAATTTAGATGAACCTTTCACAGAAAAAAAAAAACATTCTACTACATTAATTGAGGGTTAGCTATATAATAACAAAAATAATTTATTTTAATAATAAAATGACAGTACAATAAATATTATTTTAATTAGATATGACTATGAGTTCTCCATTAATATAATTCACATGAGGATTTTCTATATGTTTTTATTTATATTAAAAGAAATTCAATACTTTTCTTTTTTAGAAATCAAAATGTTTAATTACATCTAAATGTTTTTAAGTTACTTATAACTTAAATTACAGAAATTTTGGAATTTTTGAGGATGTTTAAGATATATCATAACTAAAATTCACCTATCCAATGAAAAAAAAAAATTTACTATTTTCTGTGTTATTGGAGATTTAAACTGTATATTCCTTAATTTCTAAAAACTTTTATCCTTTTTGATTCATTGTCAGAGCTAGAATTACATACATACATACATACATACATGCAAAAGAAAAGGCTGTACTCAAAGGTGTAGCATTAAAAGATAAGAAAGATGGGTGAAGGAAGGAGAGTGATTTGAATAATAACAATCCACGAAAAACCTTTTATTACGAGTGTTATGTCACTAGTAAATTCCACAAGTACTTTCGACCTCCACCGAGGTCTGCTTCAGGTGGTGACTGGCCGTGTTTCGACCCGACCGTCGTAACGATGTTGCCAACGATGTAAATAAATAAATGTGCGCGTCGGGTTTCACCCCTCCAACTGACGCTGTTCGGATTCCTCGAACAATTTGTTTGAGGAATCCGAACAGCGTCAGTTGGAGGGGTGAAACATGACGCGCACATTTATTTATTTACATCGTTGGCAACATCGTTACGACGGTCGGGTCGAAACACGGCCAGTCACCACCTGAAGCAGACCTCGGTGGAGGTCGAAAGTACTTGTGGAATTTACTAGTGACATAACACTCGTAATAAAAGGTTTTTCATGGATTGTTATTATTCAACGCAGTGTTAAGTTGTTGGAAGTCGTTTATGTTAGAGAGTGATTTGAGGTAAAGTTAGGAAGGTGGGATGGTTGGAGATTTGAAAGTGAAAAAAGGAGGACATGAGCCGCAAAGGGGGACTGTTGGATAACACAAGGAAATACAATGGTATACGTGTGCAGAACAATTTGTATTTACAGGGAAGGAGAACGCTCATAAGCTAGAATTACAGAAGAAACATGGTAAAAATCAAAGAGAACTGCTAATTGATTTTTACAGCATCTTCTGTAATTCTACAACGGTAAATTTAAACTGAAAAACTATTATAGAATAGTGCTTGAGAATTAAAGAAAAATATTCATGGTCTCCAATAAAACAGGACAAATTAATATTTGAGGAACTTTCCTTAAAAACTGTGGTTATAATCAATTAAGGGAATTCCTCAATTATTATGAGAAGCTCCTCAAATGTAAATCCAAGTTAAAATTGTTTTTGTTGGGGTCTGTTCTGAGAAAATTGAAATAAGATCAAATTTTGAATATGTAAACTCATGCTGTGGTTTATTTGTACGTTTATAATTTTTAGACTTGTTTCAATTATTATTTTCATATCAAAATTAGTCAAAACACGTGGTTTTCTTTAATTATAATTAACAGTAGCACCCTCACTTATAAAAATATTGAAAACAAATCTACCTGTCACCCTCTAGCGGTTATAATCGAAGTTATAAAGTTTTATTTTATATAATATAATGTACCGGTACCTGTACAAAAAAGTAAATAAATATTGTGTATAACTTCGTACAATTTATTTTAATTTGTTGCTCCAATAAACATGTGAATTGAAGTAGTTTGCTAGAACTTTCGCCAACTTTCTATTAAAATTATAAAAAAAAAAGTCCAAAAACTAATGCAAGACGCGGGGAATTTAAAATAATGGAAATGTCAGAGTTTTAAATTTAAACTTAATTATTTTGAATAAAATGACTAGATAATTAGAATTAATAGCAGAATTTTCTGTCTAGAGCCGGTTTTGCTCACATCTGAGGGCTGCGGTTAGGAAACAGGCGGAAAGCAAGCCGAGTACTGTATATACAAAACCCATGTACTATACAGTACAGTACCTTGACTTTTAAATATAAATTAAGACCTTTCTGAACATGATTAAATTCAGGAAAAGGAACTGTCGAGTCTTTTTTTTCAAAATTGCAGAGCTACGCTTCCGAACAAATGAAGAAAAATCATGTTTAATATGTTCTAAAATTGTACAATTAATAAAAATAAAATTTTTATATAAAATAGTTTACAATATAACTCATAGCTTTCATCAACTGATTACGGACCCACCAGTGGCCAAGCGGTTCCGTTCTCTAAACACTGAACGTGTTTGGTCGTTGGTTCGCGATTCGCCAGAATGGGCTGGCCACGTGGAGTTTTCCGGATTTTCTTCACTTCTTTAACGCCTAAATAGGGGACAGTTACCCTTAAACGACTTATGCAACATTTAAATAAATATTCAAGGGTTAAGTTTCTTTTTAATTTGAATTGCACTTGAAGATATTTTAATATTCGAAATGACATAAAGTGGTAACCTTCCTCTCTGTGGATCCGAATCCAATCCGGACTGAGGAATTTTTTGAGGGTTGGTCCGTCCAAATACGTATGGTCTCGTTCCTCACCATTCCTATCTCTTTATGGATCCGGCCGAATCCATAATTGGTTTGCTCAAAACAGGTCAAGTGCCCATAGAATGAAAATAATTTACTTTTTTAAAAAAACTAATTGCCATTTAGAAACACGAAAATAATTTATTATTATCATTATTTATTTTATTATTATTAATAAGTTATTATTAAAAAATATTTTGAAATAAAATTAAAAAAAATATTTTAAAAATGTTTTACAGAACAGTTGGCAACACTGACAATAACACGTTTACTTACGAAAAGATTCTGTTTAGTGTTTGATGTGGAATATGCCACGTTAAAATTAAGGAATAGAATTATTTTTTATTCGTATTTAAAGACATTTTATCAATAGAAATTTTAAATATCAAATAGAAAAGTTTTATAAATATTTATAAAAATAAGAATATGTTGTCGAAAGTTAGTATTATGTGTTGAGATGATATGAATCAATTTGCTTGTTCTGTGAGTAAACATGCCAAAGTAAGAATATTTTATTATTTTCAAATTGTACTTGCTTATTTCTATAGAGTTTATGTAGACTAAAATGTGTTTGTTGTGTACATAAATTGGGTGAGAAACACTGAGTGATTTAATCCTTTCAAATGAGTTTATTATGCACTTTTTGGTATGTGGAATTTACATACAAATAAAGCTGTGCAATTTTGGATAAAATAGAATGTTTTGAAATACTTGACAACTGTGGGAAACTGATATTTTGGTTAACAGGTTATCTAATGTTTTTTAGTTACTTAGAAGGTAATAATTAGGTGAAATGTGACAAGTGGAGATGATTCCGGGGCAGTTTGGAGTGGGGAGGACACTTGGCGTCACTTTGAAGTTTTGTACACTGAGAAGTTTTGCCTTTTTTTTTTTATTATTCACTGAAAACAGTTTTTACTCTGAATCAATACTTCTTCGTGCTCTACGTCGGCGAGGCAAACTACGGAAAGCCTTGACCTTCGCTCTGCATGCAGCTCTGCACTTTGGTGCACGCTGTTGCTCGTGCCTCACTGCACGAGTGGAGGGTAAGTTTTTCGCTTCTGTGTGACCTTGAAGCCGGTGTAATCACGTGGACTAGACGGGAAAGTCAAAATGCTAATCTCGTCAGGGAAAAAATGCGCAAAAGTGCCCTTCTCCACTTGAATTGCTTTGGAATTACCACCATTTGTCACATTTCACCTAATTACTCTCTAAGTAAGTAAAAAATTAGTAGATATCCTTTCCTTAACTTGTATCAATATTTCTGTACATTTGTTGTTTAATGTACTGTGCATTAATCAACAAGGCCTGAGCTATATGATTGTGCTTAATTATTGCCAATTTTGGTTGTGTTAGACTCACAATTGAGACACTAAAATAAAAAAAATTGTTCTTTTCCAAACTGTATCGAGCCTAATGTAGGCCTAGTTTAATTTTAGTTAACTCTGTTAATTGTTGTAATATTTCCAGATTATTTGTCTTCCGACTTTCCATACAGAATTTATAGGCTACATTTTGTTTCTTCAGATGGTTTGCAATCTTTCATGTGAATAATTGCTGCACCAATTGATCAGGTTGTGGATATGTGACTTTTCTGGGTCATTGAAATGTTTATATTTGAGGATTGTGTTATCCTGAAAATGGGTTTTTAGGACAATATGGTCTTCAGATCTCTCAAACACTTTCTTTCAAGGAACATTTCCAATCCATGGTATATTATGAGAGTCTGACTCATTCAAATCTAGATTCCAATACACTAAAACTTTATTTCAATATCAGATAATTCAAAATATTATATAATTCAAAGTCAAGTCTAGTCCCTAGCCAAGAAAATAAGATTTTGCATATATTTTAGTTTGGATAATTAGAAATATGCATACAATGAAATTCAAAGTCATTATCTGGTTCAGTGATTTGCAAAAATATTGTTTAATTCAAAAACTTCCATCATAATTCTTGTTTATGAGGAAAGTTTTCATGTTCAAGTGGCATTTTCACTTTCAGTTTTACTAATTATACATTGTTGATTTATTGGATGTCTATTCAAGGTCATTTGGACATCATATAGTGCTACCAATGAAGAGAGAATTTTTTTTATGGAACAAATCTGTTTAGCATTTGATTATTTTGGACATTTTTTGCAAAAATCTGTCGTTCCAATAATTCCAAAGTCGATTAAATATGTGTGTATTCATGATAAAATTCATACTTAGAGCATTAGTCCTTAATAGAGCTTGCTTTCATTAGATCACATGATTTTCGTAATCTCAAACTCAAGATGGTGAATTTTTTGCAGAACTAGCCATGGGTCCTCTAGATGAACTTTGCAGGTAATTCTTATTGAAACACTTAAGCTTCTTTCATACATTATTTTCAGGTCTTTGTTTGAATGTAGTTTGGTTACGTAATCATTAAGTACATGCCAACTGATGGTTTTTCCAAAATAGCTTAAATTACTAAGTAATAACTTGTAATTTTCACACATCTGTAACTAAATGAGTGAAATTATATGAGATAATGCATAACTATTTGAGAATTACAAAAATTTAAAAATTTTATTAAACTCGTCGACATTATTCAATTTTTCATCTACTTTAAAATTCAGATCAATTTTCATATTTACAATGAGACTATAATCACAACAAGAGAGGCTAAAATCATAAAAAAAAATAATAAACAGCTTTTCCTTTATAGAAAATATAATGTCAATCAAGTTATTTCAAATAAGTATCTATCTGCTTGTACTGGTTTCATTAAGGACATGACACACTAGATGATTTTTGTGGGAGACACATTGCTGTATGACAAAAAAATTGTTTCTCGACCAGTGGGAGAGCAGTGGTCGGGGAGTCAATTCACTTTAACTTTTGTTGACAGTCTCCTGTTGCTGACTGTAATTGATAAGTGTGCATAGACTTTGTTTACAACACAATAATAAAAATGGAGGATGGTCACTCGTCGACGATTGATAGGACACAATGTTTAATTTCATTAATTCAGTCATGAGAACCAATTTATGATATAATCACACAATTAAAGAATAACACAACAAGGTACCCAAGGATACATGCTTTTGTGCCGATAGCAAAAATTTACAATTACCGGGTAAGATATGTTGATTGTATGACTCCGGCAACTTGTCTCCTTATGTGTCTGGACATCACCGAGCGTCAACAGGCAATTATTGCTTGGAGACACATCTCTGGGGCAAGAAATCGCCTAGTGTGTCATGGCCCTTACTTCAGTAGAAAGCTATTTGCTGTTCATCTAGACACCTCTTATTCCATGCATTGTAGTGAGGATCTATCCTTATTTTGTATCTTGTTTACATTTTAGTAAAATTTCAAAAAGAATTATTGTAGAAAAACCATTGTAAGATTTAGATATTTTGTTTTCATTATCAATATTGTTGTGTTGTTGAAAGCATTTTATAGAAAATCTGATAAAGATAGTCTTTTTTAAAGTTGCTTATCATGAAATGATCACCACTTGTTTAAGAAATAATATTTTACTACTTTTCTGTTGACTATATTATTTATAATAATTTATTTTTTTAACTGAATAGAAAAATTTATATACAGTCGACCCCCTATAAGATATAGATACGTTCCAATTTATTAGGAATCCGATTTCTTACAAGTCATTCCAATCATAGCCCGACACGTGTCAAGTTTACGGACTACGGCTGATTGAAAGGTTTTCTTCCATAAAATTAATCGATTCTACACTAATCCGACTCAACATTTCCAAAATACGTATATTTTTTCGTAGTTTTATAGGAATCGTAATTATAGGGTGGTTGACTGTATTGAATAAAAAAAAATTGTCATTTATAGTTGATCTTATTGATAATTAATAAAATTTAAAATGTAGAATAGCAGTTTTTTTTAAGTCAAATAAGTAAAATCATTTGCCGTAAATTAAATATAATTAGTCAAAGTATATAGTTAAAACATTTTAATTAAACATGTAATTACAGTTGATGATTATATTTACAGTTTTAATAGGAGCATTTTACTAGGTTATACTGTATATTATAATAATTATCATTACACTAGGGCTATTATACTAGATAATATTTTACTTCAGATTTCCTTTGCAATCCAATGCCAGTATTCCACTAATAACAGTAAACTGTTTATTATAATCATAAATATAAGAATTTGAACGTAAGTATTTTGCCATAGCTATGGCAAAATACTTACATTCAGAGTCAAGTTTAACAGGAATGCGTCCATAAATGTTGAAAATCATTTTAATGGAATAAGAGTTAAAAGCATGTACAGGAAGGACCAGAATGAGCAATTACTCCTATTTGAGATTTGCTTTATTCTTTCATTTTTCTTTGATTTTTCAAATTACAGTCTGTGCATGATGAGATTGTTTGACTAGTCTTCCTTTAAGCCCTATATAGGTACTATATTAGGCCCTGTACACACTAGGCGTTTTTCAACGCGCGTTAAACGCTCGTCGAACGCCGAGCTAACGCGCGTTTAACACGCGTTTAACACGCGTTAGCTCGGCGTTCGACGAGCGTTTAGCGGAGCATGCGCACTGACTCGGTTTGGAAATGGATGTGGAAGTGATTGCTTGTGTGTGGCTCCTCTATCGTCGCTATAAAAGACGACGGCGGAGGCAAAGAGAATTTTGGGTGCACCCAATATTACGAGATAGACTGACGCATGAAATGTTTGCGACGTTGTATCCAAAACTAAGACAAAATAAATTCAAGTTTTTTAATTCTTTTAAAATATCTATAAAATCCTTTGACGATGGTTGGTCTCTTTTAGATTTCATCAATAAATAGATCAGTATCGAAATGATCGTTCTCCATTTCAGCACATATATCTCAAAGCGCTCGGCTGACGCCCGCAAAACGCGCGATCGCATGTACGGTAACATGGCAGCACATATATCTCAAAGCGCCCATAAAGCGCTCGCAAAACGCGCGTTTTAACAAAAATCTATAAGCGCTCGCAAAACGCGCGTTTAACGCGCGCTTGGCTTTTGAGTGTGTACGGCTACATAGAACTCTTGGTTCTTTTAAACGCGCGTTTAAAAGCACGCGTTTAACGCGCGTTGAAAAACGCCTAGTGTGTACAGGGTCTTATTTGAAAGACCGTGTTTTATGGGGTAGTTTGAATTTTTGCTCATTCTTCACTTATATTTATTATTTAGTCATAGATGAATATAAGCAGAAGCAAACTTGTTTAAGGAACATGATTTTAATGAATCAATTGATTGACTATTTGATATAAATTGTGTATATGATACAAAATCCTACAGATACCTTTGTTGAGTAATTGGAATGTGAATTGTTAATAATAATGTTATTTTTAGAAATATTTATAAATAAATACTTTTATGAATTTACATATCTGATATTAAAATGTTTTGTTTTATCAAAGTTAAATTATATATCATATAGTTTCTCAAAAATAAATGTCTATCATATTAATGCAAGGTGATTAAGTTTCTATATATATTTCACTTCAACGTATACAAATGATTCTTTGCAATAAGGTGTATGTGTTTCTATATATCATTGCTAGTTAGATCACAATGTGTATGAATTTTAATATGCACTTTTATATTAAATATTAGATTAAATTTCAAATTCTCTACAGAAATATTTTTGAGAATGTTAGCAAAATTATTATAACTGTACTATCTAAATCAGTGATTTCCAAAATGGGCACTATTGCCGCCTTGAAGGCATTAGAAGACTCGGGGCTGTAGAAGACAAGGGGCAGTATATATACTGAACCCTAGATAAATCTACATACTAGCTATATAATAATTGCTTTCTTAAGTATAGTATTTTCCATTAAAGCAACATTAACTTATCAATATAAGACTGCTGTCAGTACTTATAATTATATAAATATATAATTTCAAGTGATAGTATTGTTTATCTCGTTTGAGAATGTCAAGAGTTAACTGCAGTCTTTGTCATTTAATACTTGCTATTAATCCAGTAGCAGGTATTAAATGACTAAGACTGCTGTTAACTCTTGTGTATTACTAGTGGATCATATCAAAACTGTTACTTAAAGATGGGTGAAGGTAGATTTAAATTGTAGAGTAGATCTTGTTTTTGTATTGATCCATACGTTTTAAGACTGAATAAGTTAAAAATTGTGTTTCTAATATAATATATAAAGTATAAATATTTATATTTTTTTGAATTAAATGTTTAAAATATAAATTTTTTTAAATTTCAGATTTGTTATGATCTTTTGAATTATCATGGAAGATAAAAAGGAAATGGTAATTATTTATTTATTTTTTTGTGTCTATTTGTTGATGGTTATTTAGTTTAAATTGCATCTTTCCATAAATATCTAACTTAATTCAAAGAATTCTATTCACTAAATTTTATGAACATAAGCATACAATAACAACTCAAAGTTATTAATATACGAAAATTATCAAAGTAGTCCAGTGTATTTTGATAGTACTGTAATGCTTTACTGTAAAATAAGAAGTGCTGTAGTTTCAAAAAATTAGTAAGAGGCATTAGGCACCATCTCTTATTAAAATTTAATAGAAGATGGTGCCTAATGCTTACATTTAGTTCTAAATTACTAGAATTTAATAATTATTAGTAGCAGTGAAGTAGCCCTGTTTAAATTTGGTAATCATTTGATTTCATTATAAAATATTAAGCTTTGAGATTATTTTGTGTTAAGGTTGATGAAATTTTGCAAATAGAAAGTATAATTAACTTATAAACAGACAGAATACAGGTAACCCCCGTATAACACGGCACTTCTATAGCACGGATTCACTCTAACATGGTTCGAGAATTGGTACCATCCCCCGTATAACACGGTACTTTTATAGCACGGATTCACTCTGACACGGTTCGAGAATTGGGTAAAACCCTCGTACAACAGGAAATGTAATAAATTTTTACATACTTAAGTAATAATAGTTCACGAAAATTATTATTTTCGTGAACTATTAGTACTTAAGTATGTAAATTTTCTCTTCTCGCCTTCTGTCGATACACGTGGTCCTTCTCGAAACTTGTTTCAATGTTGCCAGATCGCGACGCTTCTGCTTCTGATGTTGCCGAATGTTTTTCCCTTATTCCATACTTGCTTTATTCTTCATAAGTGCTTAGCACCATATAAGGAAATTTATAAAGACCTTTTAACTAGAAGCAAGCAATCTAAAATTACATACATTTTGCAAAAGGTAAAGCATGGATCTGAAGATAATGCAGAAAAATGCTCAGAGGATAAGGATAACTTGCCAAAAAGAAAACGCTCTCGGTTAATTAATAGTGTTTTTAGTGATGACGAAGAAAACATTGTTTAATTTATATTAATATGTATCACTTAAAAAAATTTTAATGAAGATATTTATCTTAATTATGAAAATATACTAGCATGTTTTTTAATTTTTGGAACCTAACCCTCCTTTTCGTATTAGTTCTTTGTTTTGTATAACACGGATTCGCATAACACGGCAATTTTTTGGAATGTAACTACCGTGTTATACAGGGGTTACCTGTACATTTGTATTTATTAATTTTAAACCTGCTTATTAGTTTTTTAAATTTTTCTCGTTATGGCATGTCACAAATAATCAATAATCGATATGTGGCTTATTTGTGGCAAGACTATGAAAATTCTTTACTTGTCAGAACCTGTAATATCTGGAATAATTGTACTTATGCTGTCTTAATTTTTAATCATGCCCAGTAGTTTCAATAACTGCATAATGCCAGGTTGTGTAAATTGGGCAAGGATACAAACGAGTATGAAGTTTTTCTTCATAAACCTGATTATTAAAGACAAACAAATTGCCGAATTATTGGGCTATAAGCTTGATGTTTCTATTAAAGCAGCCAAGATAGATAAATTAAGAATACTAGAGAGCAAAAGAAGTACTACAATTTCAAAAACAAATTAGAAATCTTTCAGGCTACAGTGAGAAAACACATGACGTCTGTTTCCTCTAAAATGCATTAAAGACAATTCCACCCACATCAATCGGAAAGGGCATTCTCAGTATCAGGACTTTTCATTACTAAAATAAGAATCAGATTCAGTGATTGGACCATCTCTGCTTTTTAAAATCTTATTATAAAAATTTACAATAATATTTTGTATTATGTTTTATTTAAAAAACGAAAATTACCTTTTAAGTTAGAAGTTTGATCTATTTTTCAACTCAATTCAAAGCATTTTTATTATTGTTGTATGCAGTTTCCAGCAAACTTTAATAAATTTTCTCTATTTGTGAAAATTTGTACGTAATTCAAAGGTAATTTTTAATATATATATCTTACACAGCATTATTAATATGATTTTGGAGGTTACAGAACGTATTAAATTACTTTAAAAAATGAAAAATAATTAATTATTTGATCTCAAGATATTTTGTATATCTTAAAAAGAATTAATTCTATGCTGGGAAACAGTTCACTTTTATCCCAGAATCCCAGGACAAGCAAAAGACCAGGAAATGAGAAATCCTAGTGTATATATACACCATACCGGGCTGACTCTATGACAGGTAGAATGTGCAAATTAATAAGATGTATTTATCAAATCATGAAAAAAGGACCTCCCATGGTGTTTTATCATGGTTGAAGCATCATTTTTCAGCTGCAATTTAAAGTTTGCTTACCTATTACCTTTTGTTTTTGGTAAAGTGGATATTCGCCAGCCTGTCATCAGTAAGGCGTCTTTTTACAACATTGAGACAGTTCAATCCAGTAATTGTTCAAGTGGGAAAAAAGTCTAGCACTCATTGCAGCTATTATTATAAATCAAAAGAACATGATGATGAACATAATATTGTATTGTAAAAGTAAAATATTTAGTAGCTTTTGTTCTTAAGGAGTGAGGATGCATCAGAATGACATTATTTTGACACACGATGAGTTCTGTATGCCTACATGCCAAGAACTTAAATTGGCTTATTGCATTTGAAAATTTTCTGTTCTTAACATCATTTCCTATTGTATCAAATATTCAAAATGCTCACTATATGGTTATTTAAATAAATAAATAAATTTTTTAAAATAATTTTTCTCTGCTTAGGGTGTCATTCGTCCATTTGGCAAGACAAATTTGCCATTTTTTTCTTCTGTGCTATATGAAATGAAACCAATTTTAAAACAAATGAAAGTAAGTAGAAATTTTATTTTACATAAATAGAATTTACTTTTATTCTTTTTTTATTATGAAATGAGTTTTACATAGATGTGTTGAATTTTTAGTGGTTATTTTATGATTAATTTCAAGATCATCTGTGAATTTTTTAATATTGTAAAATTCAGCAAAAAACTAATGATTACATTCCTAGAAAACTAAAAGAAGCATATAACTAAAATATGTGATCTACGTATGACTTCTTTTAATTTGGAGCATTGACAAATAAAATTCGTTAATGCAGGTTTAAATATATATGGAGGTAGCTTTTTGTTGCATAATCTTTAATGTTTTTTTATAAATCCCATCTGGAATGAATAGTTTTAATTAATTGCATATGAGAATGAAACTATACACATGATTTGTATACATTGAGTCAAATGACATGACAAAACAGTGTACTTGCTAAATTATGGCTTCTTGACTGCATTGACTTTTTTAATTGTTTATTTTGAAGGATATTGCACATAACTGAATATAATTTGGGTACACACAACAATTTAGACAACTAAATTGCAATGGCAGACTTTTTCATTAAACATATGCAGAAATTTTCCAAAACATATTCTCTGCTGAGACTAATAACCTAAGTTTTGTTTTACACAGTCTTTTTTAATCAGGAGACAAAGATTAATTTGTTCAAAACTCTTTAATCACACTTGCTATTGCATCAGTGCATTTCGGGATTGAAAAAGCTCATAGCCTGAAGAGGGATGGGTTAATTTCCAAAAAAATAAATGGATTAGATTCTTTGATAAATAAAACAATGTTGTTCTATGAAAATTGTTCTTTTTGGAATCAAAATTGTGTGTTATTGATTAACTATATTTAGTTGTACGGAACAAATTATAGTCAGTCATGCATATGTACTGTACTTTGCATATAAATATTGTAACATACCAAAATAGAATTAAAAATTTATTTTGTAAAAAATGAAACTTGTTTAGGTTACAGTTTGACACTTTTTTGTATAACCAATATCTCCTTCAGTTCTAACTGAAGAATGCTCCCTTGGACTTATCAAACTCTGGCCTTTTGTAGTCATACTATTTAGTCCTCTGGCTGAAAGTATGGATGTACATCTTTCTAACCAGAGGACTAAATAGTAAGTACTTTGAATCTTTTAGTTTTAAAATACTGATGCTTAGAATGAGTTACAAGTACATTAGAACTCTAATTATCTTAACACTGATTAATCAAATATCCAGTGCTGTAATTATCAATCATTGTTGCCTTTTTAATGTTTTATAATTAATTTATTTAAAATTCTATGTGTATGTATCTTTCAGGGAAAAAGAATAACATGGCTTGGTATTTTTAATCTTATCTGTGCAGGAGTTCTCTTAATGTGGTGCAAGTCTACAAACAGTATGGGTAAGAAATTTTATGATTTGATTATAGTGGGTGTCACCAAACTATGGCCCATGTGCCAGATCCGGCCTGCAAGGTCAGTTCATCTGGCCTGCCGCCGCACTGTTCTACAATTGAGCTAAAATATAATTATGGAAATGTCATAGATTGTAGATGAACTTACTATGTAGAAAAAATTAAAATAAGTGTAAGTAAAAATGCCAAATTTGGTCCAATCTGATTTTTGCATTTGACAGTAATATAATTTTTAAGAAAATCAGTGAAATGAAAAAATCTGTGACGTTTTCAACTTTGGATATCAGAGTGCTTTTGTGTAAGTACCTGCAATGAAGTTTCTAGGATTAGTGATTACAAGCTTGCTGCAGCGATCGTCTTTGTGTATTGGTAAATAAATATGTAGGTTGTGTGAAATGTTGTGAGAAGGTTATGTTATATGTATTCAGTATGCTATATTGAACAAAAATGGTTATTTGGCCCATGCTCATNATTTTTTATACCACAGTATAGAAAGATTACTTCAACCACCAGAGATCCATACGTAAGTATTTTTGAATGCTCATCAATTTATACTCTATACTTTTCTATTTTTAAACAAACTAAATTTATGCAAAACATTACCTTTCAGTAACTTTAAAGCATCCCCAAATAACAATCCCCATTAAATATCTTCCAGCAATTATTGTTGCATTTATTTTCATCTGATTGTAATGTACATTTGAATTGAATTATTATGAATGTACAGTAAAGCATCGATTATCCGAACGCCGATCAACCGAAACGTCGATTAATCAAAAGCTTTTCAGTCGGCAAATTTAAATTTTCACTAGTGCTGTGGTGCTGCAATCTTTGGCTATGTCTTGGGCTACTCTAATATTATTTTTATAGGGGTGCGTGTTTTAGCTGGCAACATGGCATGACCATGATAGGGTACTTAAGGACGTGCCAGGATTTGAACGAATGGGATAGGTTAATATATTTTTTTCGTACATAATTGGTTATCCGAAAAATCGATTTTCCAAACAAACCCAGTCCCCAATTGATTCGGATAATTGATGCTCTACTGTATATATGTATATATACTTTATTTGTAACTACATGTAAATTATTTTATAATTATTTGTATATAATTACAAAATAGCCTATATTTGGACAATGTACAATTTATTTATTTACTCTAAACTTTAGCAATCAGTTTATTCATTGAAATAATAATTTTCAGTTCTTATTCTCAAGTATTATTTTGAATGACAAGTTTTATTTTTGAAATTGTGTGATGTAAGGTTATTTCTCACACTAATTAATTCAATTTAAGCCCAAATGCACAAAACTTTTGCAGCAGATTGTATACAATATAGTAATATAAATAATAATATCGAAAGTTCTCTCTCCAAACTTTTGCATAAGCTTTAAATGAAAATTTGATTTGAGATTATAATAATAAATATAACTTATCAATTGAGAATTAATTAAATGCAAAAAATTGTCAAAAATATCAAGATTAATTGGACAAATTAATATCTTAATAATTATAATGGGTTATGAAATGAAAATCTTGTTGTTACAGCCCTGCTACGTATTGCAAGAAATACTTTATAGTTAATAGACATCCAAGATTTGTCTTGAATAATAATCAAAACTCCTTGTTGGTATCACCAATTAAGTTCATTTGACCATCCTGTAGAATCTAAGTTAAAGGCATGTTATGACTATAATTTTGAAAAGTTTAATGATTAGTAAATTGAAATTAGTTTCATTAAATTTTTAATAAGTTTGAAAAAATATCCGAGTATAAATTGAACTTGCGACTTTTGTCTAATATGCAAGTGTGTTGCCAGTTACCACATACTTAAATGCTATAACTGGCAATGCAAATTTTAAGAGTTTTTGTAATTTAGACACTATTAATAAGTGAATTTCTATTCAAATACTTTTCAGGGGACGATATCTTCCAGCAATTATTGTTGCATTTATTTGTCATCTGATTGTTACATATGGAATGAACAATCGTGCTATCAACGATACTATTGGAGCTTCAAGTTCAAGCTGGTTGCAGGAACACGTAGCTGAAATTAGTCAAAGGTATTTATATAAATTTTATGAACGAATTATTTTTATACTGTAAAAGTTGTTTAAAAAATATTATTAAATTAACAGCATTGTTTAATTGTTGATTTTGGTCATTTCAAAATATATATAGATGTACCACCAAATGGCAATTGTCGTGTTCGGCAATTGACCATTTGGTCAATTGCCGAACACGACAACTTTCTATGAGAACTTTCCTTTTTCTATGAGAACTTTCTATGAGAAGCTGGCACCAGGTTCCAGTTTCTCATAGAAAGGTGCCAGCTTCTCATAGAAAGTTCTCCCAGGAGGCATCCTCCCTCAATGATTGCCCACGTATTGCCATATACAAATGAACAAATCTAATGTATGCATTATGAATATTACATTAAGTGTATTCTTGATGAATTTTTAGATGCATAGGAACAAACATTGTTATGGTATTATTTAAATGACTTTCAAGATATAAAAAGAACATAATTTAATTGCTGTAAAGAACAGATATTCACAGGTCATAATTTTGTTTTATTTAAAAATAAAATAATAAATCACAAGTAATTTAATATATGTATAAAAATGTACTTATAAAGAGAGGATCAGAAGTGGAAATGCACTTAAAATGTAGGGTTCAGTGTTTAATAAACCCTGGATTACTAGATGTAGATGGGCTTTTGTTTCTTTGTAATATGGACATAAATGTTAGAACGTATGATATATACTGTTAATTGTAATCCCTAGCATATACAAAATATTAATAATTTATACTTTGTTTATTATATTTATGAAAAAAATTTTGAAAAGTCAAAAATATACTGAACTCAATACTCAAATATTCTCTCTTCCATGAAAATCCTTCCCACTTGACTCATGGCTAGCTCAAATGTCGGAAACAGATTACAGTGATATACCGTGTTTCCCCGAAAATAAGACATCCGCAGAAAATAAGACCTAGTACAGATTTTGCTGAATTGCGAAATATAAGACCTCCCCCTGAAAGTAAGACCTAGCGAAGTTTTTNATAAAAATTTACAATAATATTTTGTATTATGTTTTATTTAAAAAACGAAAATTACCTTTTAAGTTAGAAGTTTGATCTATTTTTCAACTCAATTCAAAGCATTTTTATTATTGTTGTATGCAGTTTCCAGCAAACTTTAATAAATTTTCTCTATTTGTGAAAATTTGTACGTAATTCAAAGGTAATTTTTAATATATATATCTTACACAGCATTATTAATATGATTTTGGAGGTTACAGAACGTATTAAATTACTTTAAAAAATGAAAAATAATTAATTATTTGATCTCAAGATATTTTGTATATCTTAAAAAGAATTAATTCTATGCTGGGAAACAGTTCACTTTTATCCCAGAATCCCAGGACAAGCAAAAGACCGGGAAATGAGAAATCCTAGTGTATATATACACCATACCGGGCTGACTCTATGACAGGCAGAATGTGCAAATTAATAAGATGTATTTATCAAATCATGAAAAAAGGACCTCCCATGGTGTTTTATCATGGTTGAAGCATCATTTTTCAGCTGCAATTTAAAGTTTGCTTACCTATTACCTTTTGTTTTTGGTAAAGTGGATATTCGCCAGCCTGTCATCAGTAAGGCGTCTTTTTACAACATTGAGACAGTTCAATCCAGTAATTGTTCAAGTGGGAAAAAAGTCTAGCACTCATTGCAGCTATTATTATAAATCAAAAGAACATGATAATGAACATAATATTGTATTGTAAAAGTAAAATATTTAGTAGCTTTTGTTCTTAAGGAGTGAGGATGCATCAGAATGACATTATTTTGACACACGATGAGTTCTGTATGCCTACATGCCAAGAACTTAAATTGGCTTATTGCATTTGAAAATTTTCTGTTCTTAACATCATTTCCTATTGTATCAAATATTCAAAATGCTCACTATATGGTTATTTAAATAAATAAATAAATTTTTTAAAATAATTTTTCTCTGCTTAGGGTGTCATTCGTCCATTTGGCAAGACAAATTTGCCATTTTTTTCTTCTGTGCTATATGAAATGAAACCAATTTTAAAACAAATGAAAGTAAGTAGAAATTTTATTTTACATAAATAGAATTTACTTTTATTCTTTTTTTATTATGAAATGAGTTTTACATAGATGTGTTGAATTTTTAGTGGTTATTTTATGATTAATTTCAAGATCATCTGTGAATTTTTTAATATTGTAAAATTCAGCAAAAAACTAATGATTACATTCCTAGAAAACTAAAAGAAGCATATAACTAAAATATGTGATCTACGTATGACTTCTTTTAATTTGGAGCATTGACAAATAAAATTCGTTAATGCAGGTTTAAATATATATGGAGGTAGCTTTTTGTTGCATAATCTTTAATGTTTTTTATAAATCCCATCTGGAATGAATAGTTTTAATTAATTGCATATGAGAATGAAACTATACACATGATTTGTATACATTGAGTCAAATGACATGACAAAACAGTGTACTTGCTAAATTATGGCTTCTTGACTGCATTGACTTTTTTAATTGTTTATTTTGAAGGATATTGCACATAACTGAATATAATTTGGGTACACACAACAATTTAGACAACTAAATTGCAATGGCAGACTTTTTCATTAAACATATGCAGAAATTTTCCAAAACATATTCTCTGCTGAGACTAATAACCTAAGTTTTGTTTTACACAGTCTTTTTTAATCAGGAGACAAAGATTAATTTGTTCAAAACTCTTTAATCACACTTGCTATTGCATCAGTGCATTTCGGGATTGAAAAAGCTCATAGCCTGAAGAGGGATGGGTTAATTTCCAAAAAAATAAATGGATTAGATTCTTTGATAAATAAAACAATGTTGTTCTATGAAAATTGTTCTTTTTGGAATCAAAATTGTGTGTTATTGATTAACTATATTTAGTTGTACGGAACAAATTATAGTCAGTCATGCATATGTACTGTACTTTGCATATAAATATTGTAACATACCAAAATAGAATTAAAAATTTATTTTGTAAAAAATGAAACTTGTTTAGGTTACAGTTTGACACTTTTTTGTATAACCAATATCTCCTTCAGTTCTAACTGAAGAATGCTCCCTTGGACTTATCAAACTCTGGCCTTTTGTAGTCATACTATTTAGTCCTCTGGCTGAAAGTATGGATGTACATCTTTCTAACCAGAGGACTAAATAGTAAGTACTTTGAATCTTTTAGTTTTAAAATACTGATGCTTAGAATGAGTTACAAGTACATTAGAACTCTAATTATCTTAACACTGATTAATCAAATATCCAGTGCTGTAATTATCAATCATTGTTGCCTTTTTAATGTTTTATAATTAATTTATTTAAAATTCTATGTGTATGTATCTTTCAGGGAAAAAGAATAACATGGCTTGGTATTTTTAATCTTATCTGTGCAGGAGTTCTCTTAATGTGGTGCAAGTCTACAAACAGTATGGGTAAGAAATTTTATGATTTGATTATAGTGGGTGTCACCAAACTATGGCCCATGTGCCAGATCCGGCCTGCAAGGTCAGTTCATCTGGCCTGCCGCCGCACTGTTCTACAATTGAGCTAAAATATAATTATGGAAATGTCATAGATTGTAGATGAACTTACTATGTAGAAAAAATTAAAATAAGTGTAAGTAAAAATGCCAAATTTGGTCCAATCTGATTTTTGCATTTGACAGTAATATAATTTTTAAGAAAATCAGTGAAATGAAAAAATCTGTGACGTTTTCAACTTTGGATATCAGAGTGCTTTTGTGTAAGTACCTGCAATGAAGTTTCTAGGATTAGTGATTACAAGCTTGCTGCAGCGATCGTCTTTGTGTATTGGTAAATAAATATGTAGGTTGTGTGAAATGTTGTGAGAAGGTTATGTTATATGTATTCAGTATGCTATATTGAACAAAAATGGTTATTTGGCCCATGCTCCTCATTCTCTCAGTTATCTGGCTCGCTGTGCAAAAAGTTTGGTGACCCCTGGATTATAGGAAATATAAAATAAATTTCTTACACACTAATTCAGTTAATACTACATTTTTATTTTATAATTGTTTGTAAATTTATAATGGATTTCTTAAAATTAAAAATGTGTGCACTGAATTAGTAGGCATAATTCAAATTTGAATTTTTATGCATTTTATTTTGAATGACTTTAAAAGAGAATTTATAATGATGAACAGACAAGCTGCTAAATTTGATATTATCAATAGTGTATTTAGTTAAAATGTTAATCTTGAGTTAGATCATCTTTAACTAGTACAATAAATAGAATATAATAATTATTAATTTAAAAATTAATTCTAAAAATACTCATTAGCATTACAGCTTAATTATATTATAATGCTAGGCAAATGTCAAAGGAAGATAGTCTGTTTATTAGTCGAGAATTGGGAATAATACATTTTTATAAACTTGTGTAAAATAAATGGAATAGTATTCATGAATATTTTTAGAAATGAATTAATTTTTAAATTAAGAACTGTTCTATTCTCTTTATTCTAGTTGAAGGTGACCTAATTCAAGGTTTAAAACATTTAAAATTAAATATATTTTTTTGGTAATTTCAAATTTAGCAGTTTGTTTATTTTGTTGTTATAATGATGCCAAATGACAGTCAACAGTGAGAAAGGGGGACATATCTGGGAATTTTTAATCACTCAGATTAGATCTTGAGATCCCCATAGTGGTAGGTTGATGCCTTAACTACCTGGACCATTATGTACACCCTATTTCAAAAAATTATAATATAGGTATAAGGCTGTGCATCACTCAGTCATCTACATACAGCCTTGTGCAGCAACAAAAAAGGTTTACTTTCTTGGGTATTACATGACCGACTATACTACAGTCTAGCCACTTTCAAAGCCTTGATTAGAAGGGTGCGCACACCCACTGCCTTGACATCATCAGGAAACATCTTGGAAAGAATCTTAGTTATCATCATAGAATTAAATAATCACTCATTGACAACTACTGGAACACCCTAGCAAACTATAGTTTGTCTGAGTTTATCAACTATGGGAAAAGAATCCTACAATTGATAAACTTCTGTGGAATGGTAGACTTAGTAGATTCCTTGAAAATTCAGCATGTCTACACTACCCATCACAGATGACAGGGTAGCACACAACTTGGTATATGTGGGAGCCATTGCACAATCCTTTACTTCATGGTTAAAGGAACATACATATGCTGTTAAGAAGTTACTCCCCTATATACAGCCCTGGCTGTTTATGCCTTGGACAGTTGGTCAGGTTTTGCTAAGGTCTCCAAGCATATCAGAAACAAACACTGTCTTAGACAAGTCAAAGCCTTCAAAATCAGTAAATCAACATGTAAGAGAAACTCTGTAATTACAAAGGATCTAACCATGATATTGAGTGTTTGGAAATCCTGGTTTGAGACCTAAACAACTAATAAAATGTGAATTTTATTACTATTTTTTCTTTTAGTTTTTTGCACATGTTACATCAATATAACAGACTGTAGAAATTTTTTTTTCATTGTATTCCAAATCACTGTTCAAATATTTTTGATTCAATGCCATGCTGGATTATCACTGTAATAAAGACTAAAGAAAAACTGAAATTCAATATATATTTAGTGGTTATGATCTGTATTTACAATTATAATAGAGCATGTTGTAATCAATTTAGCATATAAACAGCTTCATACCTTTTACCTTGCATCTTAATGCTTGTTCCTGAATAATTATAATTTTTTTGAAAATGGGTTTTATATTGGTTGAATAATTTTTTTAAATGAGCAATGTTTTTCTGTGAATTTAGTGCTAGTTTTATATTTGCCTATTGTTTTTTAATCAGGTGCAGAGAAAATAAGATTATGTTAAAATAATAATAATATCTAAAATCAGCATCAAAACATTACATTGATTCTATGTAAATCATGTCTTTTTACAAATGACTGACTGAAAAATTTTAGATAACAAAGTTAAATGTAATAATTCATGCATTTAAACTAAAGATAATAGAACGAAAAGCTAATACTATTTGTTCAGACTGGGTGGTAAGCAAGCTGATAAAGTAATAATTCATTTGAATTGTTAGATGTAATCTTACTAAATTGCAGCCATTAATACAAAAATCAGGAGAAATCAAGATTTGACCAACACCATGTCATGCTTTAGCTGACTATTTTCTAGAATCATTTCCATTTATTCATTTGAAAAAATTTGGTGGAGTCAAGAATTAGACAGAAATATATATCCACAGTTGCCAAACTGGCTTGTGTCTCGTGAGGCTCTGTAGACCCTTATTGCGGCTCCCACATATATATACAGTAATACCTTGACTTACGCGAACCCGGAGTTATGCGATTTTCAAATCTCATCGATTCGTCTTTTGTTTGAACGCCATGCAAGTCTTGATTACTCACTCCTCCCACACTATTGTTTAGCTTACATGTTCGGACATGCCACGCAGAATCGACACATAGCTACAATGTATTTTGTGTTATTTATTTCTGTGTTTGTTATATCTACGGATACTTGAGAGACTCTATGTGGTGATTTCTTGTAACCATGAATGAATCAAAAGGTGCGACAAGGTTAATGAGAACATTTATTAGCTTACGTACATCAGATTTGGATTTTACACAAATTGCGAAAATATACCCCGACTTATGCAAATTCGACTTACGCGGTTATCGCTCAGTCCCACCTATTGCGTAAGTTCGGGGTATTACTGTACAATTTCTTTTTATGAAATAGGCACATACTACTAACAAAAATAGTGTCATTTACATAAGTGGAAGGAGTTAAATGATTACTGGTACTTTATGATGACTAGGTAAACAAAGTAAAGTAACAGTGATAATTATATTACAAATATTTGAATACTATAAACAGAGGATGTAGCTCTTGTGTATTTCTGATAAGCAGTATATGGCTCCTGTTGTGAGAAGGTTTGGCCACCCCTGGTATATACCAAAGAAAATCTGACATACGTGAAGATATAAACCTGCAAAATTATGTAAACTCTAGCTGCTATGTATATTAGTAAGAGTGGTTTGTGCAGTAAGCTTTGACTTTTTAACTTAGGAAAGTAATTATTAAAAAAGATCTCAAGATTTTTAGTTAATTGTTATTTAATTTTAGTTTACAAAAGCCATCATATATGCCTAAAGAGGATTTTTAAACTACTGCTGTAAATATACGATATTCAATTATAAAGCTGAAGTTTTTTAAATTAGTTTTTGAATATAGTCATTAAACATTATTGCATCAGTTAATATAATTATTAACACTTGCTGAAAAATACTTTAATTTTATTACATGTAGTTTTAATATAATAAATTTTGTTTTTTTTTTTAGGACTTGAAGCCTATACATATCTAATATTATTTGACTTATTAAGGTATGTTGGCAACTTTTATTAATAAAAATTATAACAATGTTGATAAATTTTAATAAATTAAATAATATAAATTAACTTATTTACATTATTAAACATTAATACTTTTACAAACTAAATTATGTTTTGGTTAATGATTATGATTCTGCTAATACAGTGAAAGTCTACAAAGGACATCTTGAGACCAAAAAACTCTGTTATAGAGAGGTTTTGTGAAAAGTACCTTTAAATGTAGATGTATTTTTATTTACAAACGTAATTGACATACCATACAGAAAATAGTAATATGATATATTATAATAGTAAAGATGAATTATCATAAGAGGAAGTTTAGTTATATTTCTTTTTTAGATTGATTATATCAATCTGCTACCTGGCCAAATTTACACTTGTTACAGAGCTATCAAGAGCACTTAGATATACTGAGCATGCTTGTCAGCCATTTTGGATTCATTTATTGCATTAGTCACCATAGAGAATGCGTGTGCTATTGTAATTTTTTTGTCAAATTGTATTTTATAGTATTAATTTTATTGAAATATACATTGCTTGCTGTGTATTTGTAGCAATAGATCTACTGGAATAGAGAGAAAGCATTATTTTCGATATTAAGGGGAAAATTAGAAAGCTTGGAAGATAGTGAGTTGTTTTGTCAGGGTTTTGAGAAATGTCCCACAATAAACATTTATGATTATGTACTTTGTACTGTTTGTATTTGATTTGAAATTTTGAATTATACCTTGATCCAAAAATTAAAAGAGTAAAGTGACATTTAGAGGTAGAAATAAAATTTTTACGTTTATTAGCTGGATGTTTAGATATATGCAACATTGTCAAAGAAAAAAACACTTTTCTATTTTGGTGCAGCATTCTTCTGTTTAGCTATATTCCAGCCTCTGTCATAATTTCTCTTGCCATCTGAGCCTTTGTTTGATTTCCATTTACTTTCAAATTTTGTAATGTTTGTACTCTTTGAAACATTTTGATTTGGTAATACAGTAAAACCTGTCTATGGTGACCACCCATGGTTCCTTCAAAAAGTGGTCTTTTAGGCAGGTGGTCGTCCAATACGGGTGGTGCTGTAATACCGTATTTCCGTACGTGTTTTGCTCACTTTTTAGCCATTTCTACTAAGCAAAACTCGAGGCGTGCAAAAATAAGCTAATTTTTTCAACGATAGGGCTATATTGGTATTGTATTTTATTCTTATCGGATAACCTGATTTACAGGAATCGTCATGATATTATAAGACAGATTTAATACCAATATTTTAAAGATTAATACAATACTCGCATTTTCTCAATTATAATGCACACTTTCTTTTTTTCCGACTTAATTAATTCGACTCGGTTCTTTTCGTTCGCTCCTCAGTTACGTGTATTACGTCATCGATATACAAGCGCGTCCTATCTCTCCATCACTTTGCTTTTGGTTTTCGTTAGTTTAATCTTATTTTAACTTTAAAAATACTGTA